ATGTGTACAACTAAAAAATCATCCAATAAGTTCATCATACACACAATGAAATAAATTAAAATTTTCCCCGACATGACTCACAACACTTCTCCAACATATACATTATATTCACATCATAGCACAGGTAAAATAGTCTGTAATAATTTTTCCCATCTCCAACAATGCACATATACCTAAACTGCTGACATATAATTACATACAAACATAACCATAAAATTACATGGACCAGAATGCTGGCACTTAAACAGAAATGACACTAGTCATTAATATATACACAACACATATATATCTAAGGTTCTTCATCCTTAGTAATTATAATTTAACATCTTGCCCTGTACTGTTGACATAAGGGCTTACAATGATCACAATGTTTCACTGGCCTCCTCCACAATTTGCAGCATCACCTCTCTTGTCTTCGTGTCCCATGGTTGCTAGGTCATAGATCCTCCATGACCCAGACAAAACCCAGGCTGTCCAGCCTGGTGAATGTTGTCAATGTCCCATCGTTGCTCTGAGCTAACGTGATCCTGGCCTCCAGAGCAACGGAGATTCCTACCCCAGGGTCATGTTCCCTCGGGTCTGTGCTGACGTCTCGTTCCAGGGCACCAATCCCAGAACGCTGTAGATACCTCACAGCTCTCTGGTCTAGGCCCATCCGCCCAGAGTGTGTCCACCTGTATTCACACCTTCCCGACCGCTGTACTGTACCTGCAAAATATTCCCTCGGAGCCCCCTGGCTCGATCCCATTATTACATAACCCCCTCGGCTCCTTACTCTCTCCCCGTATATAGCCTGAGCGCAGCTGCAAAACCATTGCAGCTGGCCCTTATCCCTGCTTTGATGTCAGGGGGCGAATTTCGCCTATAACGTCACGTTGGCTTCACTTCCACCCCCTTTTTTTCTAGAATAACTGAGTGTAGCCTCATAGCTTCCCTTCTACTCTACCTGAAGCTCTGTGACATGATCCCGGGGGACCTTCTCATGCCTAACACTCAGTAATGGTGCCGATGAGGTAATATACAGTATATACATACACATACATTATCACAATAAATACCTCATTAAAATAATTTCACAACTAATGTCACTAAGGCATCATACTGCCACTGGCTCGCTTCTAGCGAGATTCCTGTAACAACTTAATTAATGAGAAATTAGTATATCTACTTGGCTCGCTCACTGCAACCACCAACACCTGAAATTTTGAAATTCTACATTATAATCTTATCCATAAGACTTACCCACTCCGACATAATTAATAATGAAAATTTTAATGAGAATAATGAATTTTTATTAGTCTTTTATGAGTTTTGCTAGATATATCGACGTGGCTCGCCTACTGCAGCCACCAACTCCTGCAATTATCCACATTTCATCTTATCCATAAGACTTACCCACTCCGACACACCATTACCTCTGATGACCTCAATATAACGCCACACATCCCCACAACCACTTCCTGCGTCCTAACGCACCGACCTTGCTACGCCAATACTCACCTTACCGACCACTACCTGGCGCCCCTGCGCCACCATATACTCCAAAGCACAACACCACACTCCATACCAGGCGTCCAAACGCCACTACACTACACCACCCAATGGCGTCCCCAACGCCCTCAACACAACACACGGCGTCCCCAACGCCATCAACACAACACACGGCGTCCCCAACGCCCTCAACACAACACACGGCGTCCCCAACGCCATCAACACAACACACGGCGTCCCCAACACAACACACGGCGTCCCCACGCCCTCAACACAACACTCAGCGTCCCCAACGCCCTCAACACAACACACGGCGTCCCCACGCCCTCAACACAACACTCGGCGTCCCCAACGCCCTCAACACAACACACGGCGTCTCCACGCCCTCAACACAACACTCGGCGTCCCCAACGCCCTCAACACAACACACGGCGTCCCCACGCCCTCAACACAACACACGGCGTCCCCAACGCCCTCAACACAACACAGCGTCCCCAACGCCCTCAACACAACACACGGCGTCCCCCAACACCATTACCACCACAGGCATATGCCTTGCGCCAGAGCGCATCAAAACACCACGAGACGTCACCACCAATAACACCACCAATAAGTAACCAGACGCCACACACACTCCCTTTTCTCTCGTAATCCATTAATTACCTGACCAACACTCGTCAGGCATAATTTCTTGTGTAGTGGCCACCCGCCACACACTACCACCTGCGTTAACATACTTCAACGCTAATGTCTACAATACACCCGGTGTTACAACAACCAGTTATGCTACACATGCTACACCTTGGCGCTACAATGCCAACAATGTCATGCACTATACTACATCCATGATATCCACAGTGAAAACATGCACATTTCACTACAGTAAATACTATGCATTACGCTGGCGTCTAATAAGCCACTACACATGCATTACACTACACACCACATGCATTACACTACACACCCCGGCGTACAAACGCCAATACACAACCATGCACTACACCCGGCGCCACACACCCCCACCAACGGGACACGCTCCCCGTGTCCCACGCTAACACTCTCCATAATGCTACCTGCACCCACAAAAAAATCTCCCTGGCCCTCTCCAGGGTACAGTAGACGGCGAACCCCAGACGTCAAATTACGCGTCGCTCGCTATGCCAAGGCGTCCATAATTCACTGCGCCTATTTTCTGTATCTACACCTGACAACGCCGGAACTCGCACAGTACTTTAGGTAATATTTCATTATCCTTAAAATATTCGATTTACACGTTACATGAAATTTAATTAACTTTAAATTACGTAGTTTACACGATTAATTTCACCTTAGCAACGGTTTCTCACTATTTCCGCCTTACCAACGATATAAAACAAGCTCCAAGGTGAGGCTCGCTTGGCCCGCACATGGCCGCACATGGCCTACGCTGGCCCACATTCACCCGCGCTAGTTTACCTCGCCACGCTGTATAATCCGCACTGCGAACACTGTATAATCCACATTACGAACACTGTATAATCCGCACTACGAACACTGCACTTGTTTTGGATCCCGATGCTTCAGTGGTCCAGACTTGCCTCTTAGCCGTCTCTCGTTGCGGGAATCTGGAAAGAAAGAAATAAACCCCACATGTGCCCCACAATGGCCTAGTCCCTTTAATTAACTAACTCCTCTGCCCTGGTCTCACCTGACCCTTCTTTCCTCCGTCTAGTAACCCCCATTCTCACCACAACCCGACGTCTACCATTTCCCGAACATTCCTTCACCAACTAAACCAGAACCACACTTCCTTCATCTCGCAGTGTTCCAAAACCTGTTTGCGCTGCCACCAAATATGTCGTGACGCTGAACCCCGGTTCATTCCGAACACAGCGATTACACAACACATAACACCTTGCCTCAGCAACCGTTACTACCACCGTGTACTCCTACACCCACCAGACCATTGAGGCGTACCCCTAGGTTTGTACTGGAACACAATGAATGAACATACGGAAGGTATTTAAAGGCCGTCGGGTTTTGTCATTTAATTACAAAGAATAGACTCTGACAAATAATACTATATTAATTAACATACTCTATTAGGTCAATACACTTCCAATACCCATAGACCACTTGACCTCCGCGATCACCACCCACACTCGTAACTTCCGCCTAAGTCCCTAATACGGAATGATTACTACAACGCTCCACACCCGGTTAGTCTTACATTCAATACTCACATACTGCAGACTTAACTTGGTCACTAAGATCACAACAGGCTCTCGCATAGCTGTCTGCTACACTTCGCTGCTGCCACAAACGAAGACCTCGGAGGACTTGCTAGTTCAACTTCCACAACCAGACTGCCTCCAGTCAGCCATGGCCTCAAACATTTCACCACGCCTCTTGAGGAAGGTATAATCCGATTAACCTTATCCCTAGAGCGGTAACCTTGTTCCTAGAAGCCTGACGAAGAATAATTCCTCTTTCCAGGAATTATTAATTTGGCTAAACAGCTTCGGTCTTAATCCATTGACCTTTCTTAGATATGTGATCCATAGTCTGTCTACTTACATGTACTTTCAATCATCATTCGTTAAGTGTTGTAGTAATGATCCTCTAGCTAATAATTCCTACTAACTTGTGGATTACAACATATATATATATATATATATATATATATATATATATATATATATATATATATATATATATATATATATATATATATATATATATATATATATATATATATATATATATATGTATATATTCACAATAGAATTCTTTCAATAGAATCATGAAGCCGTTTCTTTGAATTACATACCATGAACAGTGTAACTGAGGGAATTATCTAATTCGTGACCAGAGCCTCATTGATGCCATTCTATAGCTGAATACATTGCCGTCCAATTTGCACGGCTGGCTAGTTGTCTTTGCAGGATTTTCCAGAGGGTGTCCTTAACAGCCTCGTTCATGGAATGGCAGCCTCTTTTTCTCCCCAGATAGTTTTTTTTTTTTTTTGAGATATATACAAGAGTTGTTACATTCTTGTACAGCCACTAGTACGCGTAGCGTTTCGGGCAAGTTCTTAATCCTATGGTCCCTGGAATACGATCCCCTGCCGCGAAGAATCGTTTTTTCATCCAAGTACACATTTTACTGTTGCGTTAAACAGAGGCTACAGTTAAGGAATTGCGCCCAGTAAATCCTCCCCGGCCAGGATACGAACCCATGACATAGATCTCGCGGAACGCCAGGCGAGTGTCTTACCACTACACCACGGAGACTGCTATCTGCTATCTGTGATCTGACCACTGTGATCAGTTGACTTCGTGTATGGAAAAAATTTACATAAATTGTTAACAATATTTCTATAAATCCTTTAATCACAGATCTGTGTTTGACATTTAGGTAAATACTCCCCTGTCCTCCATGTATATAGAGTGTGGGAAGTAACTTCGTACTTTATATTAATTTATGTAGAGAGAGCTTAATATTACTTTTTACTCTTTTCTGCCCATCAGAAACTAGTGTAGGAAGAGGAAGTGGTGAGGCAATGAGCGAGCAGGAGGACTTATGGCTGCGTGCGGCCACACCTGCCGAGGAGTACTTGGAGGTAGCACACCAGCACGGGACCGTCCTCACCTGCTACACTCTCCACCTCTCCTCTCACAACCCTCTTCACCAGAATACACTCACCTCTGCCCTCACTCACCTCTACAGGTGGGAAGAGCCACAACCTACGTACACTCACCAGGCTTGTCTTGTGAGGGACAAATACTGAGGGTGTTGGGACCACTGTGAGACACTGAGGGTGTTGGGACCACTGTAAGACACTGAGGGTGTTGGGACCACTGTGAGACACTGAGGGTGTTGGGACCACTGTGAGACACTGAGGGTGTTGGGACCACTGTGAGACACTGAGGGTGTTGGGACCACTGTGAGACACTGAGGGTGTTGGGACCACTGTAAGACACTGAGGGTGTTGGGACCACTGTGAGACACTGAGGGTGTTGGGACCACTGTGAGACACTGAGGGTGTTGGGACCACTGTAAGACACTGAGGGTGTTGGGACCACTGTGAGACACTGAGGGTGTTGGGACCACTGTGAGACACTGAGGGTGTTGGGACCACTGTGAGACACTGAGGGTGTTGGGACCACTGTGAGACACTGAGGGTGTTGGGACCACTGTGAGACACTGAGGGTGTTGGGACCACTGTGAGACACTGAGGGTGTTGGGACCACTGTAAGACACTGAGGGTGTTGGGACCACTGTGAGACACTGAGGGTGTTGGGACCACTGTAAGACACTGAGGGAGCCTTAATACAATATGTGTGAGCTATTGCTACTATTTTACTGCATTATTAAATTACCATATATTTATGGCCAACTCTTATACAAGGGTAGGATAATATTAGACTGGAGTTGTTGAACAACTTAGTCTAACCTAATTAACTGCACTAACCTGGTGTAAGGGTAGGATTTTACACTTGTCTAGAGTCGAACCAATTGTACAGCCTAGCAATTATTTACATTGTCCGTGGTGTAGTGGTAAGACACTCGCCTGGCGTTCCGCGAGCGCTATGTCATGGGTTCGTATCCTGGCCGGGGAGGATTTACTGGGCGCAATTCCTTAACTGTAGCCTCTGTTTAACGCAACAGTAAAATGTGTACTTGGATGAAAAAACGATTCTTCGCGGCAGGGGATCGTATTCCAGGGACCTGCCCGAAACGCTACGCGTACTAGTGGCTGTACAAGAATGTAACAACTCTTGTATATATCTCAAAAAAAAAAAAAAAAAAAATTGTGCAGTTTCTTATGACAACACAAGTTGTGTTGTACATATTTAATAACAATAACCATAAGTATATTTTAACTATAATCATTTATTCACCTTTGAGTGTTAATGTGTGTCTCTGTACCAACTAAGAGTGATAATGACGAGCTAACCTAAAGTGAAACCAGCATAGACAGGCGTTACCACTCAAATCATTTGTGTGTATGATTATATATATAGTGTGTATTAATTTTAAGAACCTCCAAAGAGATAAGATGTCGTAACCTAGTACAAGAGTGACCCTAGGCTACCACCAACAGTGTTTGTTCAGCATTTATGAGCAACACCCCGGCAACAAGCCCAACAAGGCTTAGCCCTAGTACAACTGCAGCAAGGCTTGTCCTAGCAGCCATCATGTCTAATGCAGGAAAAATGAAACAGGCCCTCACAGGTTTTATAGTTCATTTAACCAGACAGATCAGTAAATACAAAGATCTGTGTAATCATATTCCAGTTTATTATGTCAAATTGGAGGACTATCATAAGGCTGCCAAAAAGAAATTTAACCAAGTAAGAAGTCAAATAGAGAAATATGTAGCTGTTTTTATTGATACTAGTATAGATGATGCAGTGTTAATGGTTATCATAAATGAACAGGCAGATTCTGAAGATGCCATTCAAGCCAAGTTACAGTCCATTGTCAATGTAATAACACATTGCAAGGCAACAACAAACATTACAACAATAGCTTCCCTTAACCCAACACAACCAGAAGTCAAACTACCATAAATTTGCCGAAAGTTTGCCTACTTTCTCTGGAACAGAATATGAAAGTTGGGATAACTTCATGGAAAAATTTGTTGATGCAGTGGATGCTAATGCAGCTATCCATAAAACCACAAATTTACATACTTACAAGGTCAGTTAAAAGGAGAGGCTTTAAACGAGGTATGTAATTTAACATTATCAAATGATGGGTATGATAGCGCAGTGCAGCTCTTGAAGGAAAATTATGCTGATCCAGAACGAGCTGCCGCACTTTTAGTTAAAAAATTGTTGGACTTACCGTCCATGGATGGAACAACTGACTCACTCCAAGCCTTTAGATTGGCGCTTGAGTCATTACTTAAAGTACTCAGCCTTAAGGTTAATTTAAATGGTGGTGAGTGGATAACTAAAATTGCTGTAAGATGAAAATTACCCAGTGAAATACTAGATAAGCTGTGTACCTTGCACAACAAATCCTCTCTAATATTACCGGAGATTACGGAAGGTTTATGCCATGTTATAGAAAGACAGAGAGTCGACACAGATGATAAATCAACACTTAAACCTCCGTTAACCACCCACAGTAAACCACAGAGTACACACAGTACTCCAAATAGGTCGAAAACCACTACATCCACCTCAAGGTGGAAACAAGGTAGTGTGAGCATATGTGCAGTGGGTTATCTTGAGATGCTTTCAAGGCTTTTAGTGTCCCCGCGGCCCGGTCCTCGACCAGGCCTCCACCCCCAGGAAGCAGCCCGTGACAGCTGACTAACACCCAGGTACCTATTTTACTACTAGGTAACAGGGGCATAGGGTGAAAGAAACTCTGCCCATTGTTTCTCGCCGGCGCCTGGGATCGAACCCAGGACCACAGGATCACAAGTCCCGCGTGCTGTCCGCTCGGCCGACCGGCTCCCCGACCGGCGACTGGGTGCCTTTAAACTTACAGTTAATGTGTCACCCAAAGTGTTGACTCCCAAAGGTGCTGTAATATGAAGGATGTGTTTGTTCTGTGATGAAGAACATTCCATGTACAACTGCAATACTTACCCTAGTCATGCTACACGTGTAAGGCAACTCAAGGAATTGCACAGATGCACCAGGTTATCTTGAGGTTATCTTGAGATGATTTTGGGGCTTTAGTGTCCCCGCGGCCCGGTCCTCGACCAGGCCTCCACCCACAGGAAGCAGCCCGTGACAGCTGACTAACTCCCAGGTACCTATTTACTGCTAGGTAACAGGGGCATTCAGGGTGAAAGAAACTTTGCCCATTTGTTTCTGCCTCGTGCGGGAAACGAACCCGTGCCACAGAATTACGAGTCCTGCGCGCTATCCACCAGGCTACGAGGCCCCTCCCCCGGCGAGGGGGCGAGGCCCCCTACGAGACACCAGGTGTCTAAGGTCACATAACCACGATATCTGTGCAACCCAAATGTGCACCGGCAATAGGTGCAATAAGAGTCAACACCATGCAGTACTGAATGGGGACACAATTCCAAAGTCTCCCAAACCACAGGTGGAGGTAGGAACTTCCACTACAGTACAATTCTGTAGAGTACTTCCAGATGTAAGTGTACTATCAACAAAGTGTAATTATAACTCAGCTTTGCCCACTGCCCAATTACTCTTTAGAAACAGAAGGTCCAATGTCATCATTCGTGGATTATTTGACCAAGGATCCCAAAGGACATTTATCACCAAAAAATTGATAGATGCCTTGAAACTTAAGCCTGTACGAGAGACGAAATTAGACATAGCAGGATTCCTGACTAACTCAGGAGCCCAAATCTACAAAGTGGTCCAACCTTTAGTACGTTTAGGCGGATATGCCCGAATGGTACAGGCCCTTGTCGTAGACAAAATCCCATCAGACCTGTATGTTTATGATCTAGAGACAACAGCCAAATTCCTAAAAAAAAAGGGAATCAAGTTGGCTGACAAAATCATGTCTGATCACCTCTCCAATATTGGAATCCTTGTAGGCTTAGACGTCTACCATGCGTCTATCAAAGGAAAAGATAAACAGCAGGGAATGAACCTCTTAACATCTGCAGGGGGTCATTTGCTAAGAGGCCCAATATTGAGGCTGAAGCAACCCACACCTGTAGACACCTACAAGTCAACTCAGTGATGGTTTCATGACTAGGTGAACAGTCACCCCTGCAATTCAGAGAAATGTCTGAAGATGAGCTTGATCCCCCCCTGTACATAAAGTATGGGATCTAGCAACTCTAGGCATAGTCCCTGAACAACCTAGTCCAAATGATGACTGGACTTACAAACAATACCTGGACTCAGTTGTCTACAGTGACAATCAATACTGAGTCAGGTTACCATGGAAGCTGAATCATCCTCAGCTACTCATAAACCATTTCATGGCACAAAACCAATTAAGGTCACAGGTGATGTGCTCACATAGACATCCTGAGAACTTGAAATTGTACCATGATATATTTACAACAACAACGCGATACCAAATTCATCGAGGTTATTAGCAATGATAACTCTAAGAAAGGGCATTATCTGCTGCACCATGCCGTATTTAAGAATTTAGCTACTACCCCAATAAGGATAGTATTTAATTGCAGTGGCAAGACCAAGCACAATAGTGTTTCATTGAATGACTGCCTTCAAACTGGCCTTAGCCTGACTCTAGGACTGTATGATGTGCTGTTAAAGTTCCGCATCAGAACTTATGCATACACGGCTGACATCAGTAAGGCATTCCTTAGGGTAGGTCTCCAGGAAGAAGAAGACTGTAACTATACAAAGTTCTTATGGATCAAGGATCCTAACAATCCAAACAGTGAATTAATCACCTACAGGTTTGCATCAGATTTGTTTGGTGCTACTTCTTCGCCATTTCTGCTTCAAGCTACCTTAGACACACACTTGAAGAAATCTAATAGCCCAAATAAAACTGAAATTAGCATCAACCTGTATGTGGACAATTTCCAAGGAACAACCAACAGTGAAAGTAAACTGATGAACGTATATCACGAGGCCAATCGAGAGTTATTCGGAGAAAATATGCCTCTCCAGTCATGGGTCTCCAACAATACCAGTTTGAATCGAGTGACCGAAACAGAATTTCCCGACTACAAAGTATCCCAGAAGACAAAGGTACTAGGCGTCAAATGGGATACAGCTTGAGATCAGTTGACCATCAAATCGGTGGAACCAGATACCACCAATCTAACACTGAGGAAACTACTATCCCAAGTCAACAAACCCTTCGACCCATTGGGACTATTAAGTCCAATCTTGATAAATAGGAAGTTGATAATGCAGGAAATCCGGGACCTCCTCCACTCAAAAAGGAATGAGTAGTCTATCTTCGTCCCTTTCAGACCACTGGAGTAGATTTCACAGGAGCACTAACACTGATAGGCACCAAGGATAAAATCCCAGTGAAGGCATAAATCTGCCTATTCACCTGGCTCCTGGCCTTAGCCTGACTCTAGGACTGTATGATGTGCTGTTAAAGTTCCGCATCAGAACTTATGCTTACATGGCTGACATCAGTAAGACATCAGTAAGGCCAACCGGCTCCTATTTAGGGAGCTGGTCGGCCGAGCGGACAGCACGCTGGACTTGTGATCCTGTGGTCCTGGGTTCGATCCCAGGCGCCGGCGAGAAACAATGGGCAGAGTTTCTTTCACCCTACGCCCCTGTTACCTAGAAGTAAAATAGGTACCTGGGTGTTAGTCAGCTGTCACGGGCTGCTTCCTGGGGGTGGAGGCCTGGTCGAGGACCGGGCCGCGGGGACACTAAAGCCCCATAATCATCTCAAGATAACCTCAAGATAGATAACCTGTGCCACAACAAAAGGAGTGCATCTAGAAGTGACTCCTGATATGAGTGCCGAGGCATTCTTACAGGCTTTCCGCAGGTTTGCTTCACGTAAATCCTACCCTAAGTTAATGATTTAAGACTTAGTGGCAGTCACTGCTACTAAGTCCAACTTAGAGGCAGGGAAAGCATGTCTGAGGGAAATCTGTAACCACCTAAAGATGTGCACTGCCCTAAATCAACGGCAGTGCCACTGGAAATTCATACCTCCCAGAGCACCATGGCATGGAGGATTCTATGAACGCATGATTGTTACAGTAAAATGGTCTCTTCAGAAAACCCTACACTGCCAAAAGATTGACATGCAAGAGCTCCGAACCGTTGCCATAGAAATAGTAGCTCGAGTTAACAACCGACCACTTACCTAACTCTCTGATGATGTTTCCCAACGTGAACCATTAAGTCCAGCTCATCTGGTGTATGGGGGACTTCTGAGACCTCTAGTGTCCCTGATGGATGAGGAACCTGAAGATCCTTCATATGTCAGAGAGAGTGATTTGGTACGTTTCAAACATCTTTCAGGAGTGATAAGTCAGTGAAATGACGTATGGACACGAGAATACCTTACTGCTCTGAGGGAGTATCACTACATAACAAACAACCCCTACAACAGAATTAACTTGACCTTTGGTGACATAGTTCTGGTGGACAGTGATGGGCCCTATAGGGGCTCAGAGTGCCCTATAGCCCAAATAGTCTCTGTTCATCCAGACCGTCAGGGCATCTTGAGAATAGTGAAAGTTAAGTGCCGAAGCAACACTACTCTCAAAAATTAGAGAAATTAGTTTTTTTAGAACTGGCAGGAAAAGAAGACGCTCAACGACTTCCAACACCCGAAGTGCCAGTTTGGGACATAAGTCCAGAACGGACTGCTGCAGGAAAGTGCAAGCTCAAATACAAGCAACTTTATAATTCTGAGGACGAGGAATAAAGTGTCTCCAGTCCTTACTGAGACTTTGACCCGTATTTCCCCCCCACCCCCCAGAATTATGTCAGAAATCCGACACACATGTTAACATTCTATAGTTAGCCATTACCAAATTTAAAGAAAATGGAAGTTTTTCGTGATGTCATCACAACAACACTCCCATTACCTCACGTATATTTAAGCTTCCACAATTATTCTTTAAAACCACCGCCTAGTGTTTAAACTTAATAAAATAGTATTCACTAGGACTAAATATAAATAAATACACCAGAAAAATATAGCTTGACTCCCTAAATCCATAAAACAGAGTAGGACCAGGAATATTATTGGAACAAAGGATGCCTCAGGGCAAGTCACATGCTCACTCAGACTCAGATAGAATTAAAACAAAGGGACAGGAGGCAGAATGTCTCCTTGAGGTTTGCATTCACGTCACTGCAGAGGTTAATTGAGACCGCCCAATAGTGATCCAGCCACAGTGATCTCTACATCAACCATGAGAAGTATTGTATCCGGTAAACCAATTTGTGTATATGATTGTAGTGGCCATTATAAATTGTGTGTAAGTTTGCCGGTTCTGATATACCAACAACCCAAAACCAGGGTGAGCCTGGTTTTTACTATTACCATTGTTTCCTTGTTGTATATCACATTTGTGAATGCAGTTTAGTTCTCTGTAATTTATTCACAGGCTGAATGTAACGTACAGTCCACTTATAATCATAATTCAATATTGAAGTAACAAAAAAATACAAAATAAAATATTCACAAGGAATTAAAACAAATAACTGCCTACTAGGATTCCCCACATGAGCTGTGTACACCTTGGCACTCGAATCAAGTCCTTCATTGTGTTAAGGAAGGAAGGAGTGTTGAGGAAGACAGTTGCATTTGTACAGTGGTGTTGAAGGGTTGAGTGTTGGCGTGTTTTTGCAGGAAAGTTGGGTTGCTGCGGGTGTGTTTGCGGCTGCGGGAGGGGCAACTGTGGCTGCGTCAGATGGAACACTGCATCATTGACTTTAAGGTACCTGCTCCTATAGTTGCACCTCTGCTGCCCTCTGCTAGCTCTCATTTTTGTTACATGTTTTGTGTTGCAAATTTAAATCTTGCCTCAGCTTTCTGCATTGTAAATACTTTTTTCTGTTGTAACTATTTTGTAGTTTTGTTAGTTAACCTACTTTATATCTAACTTATGCATCAAGTGTGTGAGAAACATCTAATATTTTCATATTGTAATTTAATTATTTATACTGTGTTCAAGTTAAGTAAATATGAAACAATAAGTGTGTAGTATACGACATCCTCAGGTAGTGTAATAATTATTATTGTCACTAGAGCTTAAACTGGTTAGACTGAGTGTGGACGCTTCTCAATAGACTGTTGAGGGAGCTGGACTGGAAGAAGTGGAGGAGGAGCTCACTCGTGGCCGCTACAACACTGCCGACGGCCCCTTGTGGCGTGTGAGGCTCCTCGCCCTGCCTGCGACACAACCTTCCACCGATCAAGATCCGGCTTTCTGCCATAGGTACGCCCTCCTGTTTGGTGTCCATCATGTATTAGCCGATGGCTTCTCCAACATTAAAATCTGCAACATGTTGCATTCCATCCTGGACGACGTTATTGCTGGCCGGCCAGTTGATGACGAGGTCCAGTTCGGCCGACACCTCGGCAATGAACTCTTACAAAAGCTTTACCAAGAAGAGGAGAAAAAGTTACTGGAGGATCCAGAACTAAGGGAAAAGGTCACAAGATCGCTGGCGGAGGGTGCTGACTGTCGGCCTCTGCTACTAGACGTCTTTCCTGCTTCAGGAACTACTGAAGTAAAAACCTCCTTTGTTAATACTCACTTTGACAAAGATATATCCCAGCTTTTCCGTCAAAAGTGTAAGTCAGAGAGAGTGAGCCTACACTGTGGTCTGGTGGGAGTCATCAATGCCACCTTCATAGCCCTTGTTAAAGGCCGCTGTCAGTTTCCTCCTGAACTGATGTTCCGGGCTGGCCATGATGTAAACATACGCAGATATTACCAAGGTGACACCTCTGACATTCTTGGCAATCATGTTCCCTTATTTGGCTTCAGGATTTCTTTCAAAACCTCTCAAGACCTCATGTCAAATTTCTGGCCTACGGTAAGGGAATTTCACAAGCAATTTCAGTCCCAACTGAATGATCGTTACCCACTGAAAAATGTGGCACTAATGTTAAGGAACAAATCTAAATCTGAAAATATTGATGACCATTTCCAATCGGTGGAGGCACCGGACAGATATTGCACTATATCCAATTTGGGTGATGTGACCAGCATGTTCACAGGTGTTGTAGAGTGTGTGAAGGTGACCAAGCTGACGAGGAAGGCGTCTATACGAGCCATGAACAGCTTCATGTGCTTATATGTGCACTCCCTCCACGGCCGCCTTGATGTTACCATTGGCTTCTCCACTCGCTTCTTGGATCATAACTTTGCCCAAGCTTTCATGGACATGTTGAACACAACTATTTCAACACTGTGTCACGCCTGATCATGTGTCGTGCATGACCATGTATCCCAACCATGTCACGCCTGATCATGTGTCTCCCAACACAGAAGCAACAGCACCTCCAATATACAACATGAGCTCTTGACACAAGAACTCTTGTGACCACGGCTCAGCAGTGTTCCCAAGTTGACACAAGAACAATGTAATCATTGTCCTGAAGACCGTGACCCTTGGTGAGGGACCAGAGTCTTAGAGGCAGGGGACGAGGTGTTGTTAATGCTGCTGCTGGTGTAGTCAAGCCACATGTTATATGCTAATAGACTTGTTTGATAATAATATAAAAAATAATTCACTGAAGGTATTTTATACACCATGTAATTAGAGTAATCATATCCTCTGCAATTTTATGCAAATATATAATATTTTTTATTATTATTATTATTATTATTTTAATTATTGTTTTCGTTATTATTATAATATTTATTATGTTAAAATTATGCATTATTGTTTTCATTATGCGTTAGTAGCGAGGACTACAATGTTACATACCCTGTATTTACACGGAGTGATCTTGGAACCTTCTTATGATAACTCCACACTTCAAGAAGTGATCTTGGAGCCTCCTTATGATAACTCCACACTTAAAGGAGTGATCTTGGAGCCTCCTTATGATAACTCCACACTTCAAGGAGTGATCTTGGAGCCTTATGATAACTCCACACTTCAAGGAGTGATCTTGGAGCCTTCTTATGATAACTCCACACTTCAAGGAGTGATCTTGGAGACTCCTTATGATAACTCCACACTTCAGAGAGTGATCTTGGAGCCTCCATATGATAACTCCACACTTCAAGGAATGATCTTGGAGCCTTCTTATGATAACTCCACACTTCAAGGAGTGATCTTGGAGCCTCCTTATGATAACTACACACTTCAAAGAGTGATCTTGGAGCCTTCTTATGATAACTACACACTTAAAGGAGTGATCTTAGAGACTCTTTATGATAACTCCACACTTCAAGGAGTGATCTTGGAGCCTCCTTATGATAACTACACACTTCACAGAGTGATCTTGGAACCTTCTTATGATAATTCCACACTTCAAGGAGTGATCTTGGAGCCTTCTTATGATAACTACACACTTCAAGTATTCGTTTGCCTTGTTCGGGTAGAATGTAGACACAGTAGTCGCTTCTGTATATATTTATTGAGTGAGGCAAACAGGTGTATAACTGGCCAACCGAGGTCCACCTACTCTGAGTCTGTGAGGAGAACTGAGGCTGCTGGGAGCATCGCTGATGCTCCTCTGTCTGGCATGACGTCAGAGGCCTACTTGCCTGTGATTGGTTACATTTCAACTGACATAGAATTTAAGTATAACACCGCTCGGACACGCTACCAAGCCGACGTCCCTTGTCGACAAGCTCTGGCTAGCTATATAGTTACAATGATACTGAAAGGACCTCGGTGGCATTCAATAATGACTTACATGTGAAATTTGCATAATAAAACATTGAAAGAAGATCAGGTGTGCGTAATACTAACAACTCGGCATATGCACCAAAAAAAAAATTCATCATAATAGTAACAATGGTATAGTAACACAATCATAGTAACAATGCTTTGATTAAACAAGAGTATTAAGAACATGTGTATGTCTACTGATCAGATATGAACAATACAACTCAAGGTATTGCCTAAACAAAATTATTAACATGTGTCAATGGCATGTGCTTGAAAACCATACAAAATTAAACAATTATTACACTAATGTAACAAAGTTCTGACCTAACAACCACAAATGAAATTTAAGATTAGATAATGATTTTTTTCCCTTTTTTTTTTTCTTTGACACTGAAATATATAATATATTTACAAGACCAATGTACAATATATTTAATGTGCAATATATTTACAAGCTATATACAAGACCTGGATCAAGAAGACTAACATCTGCGTGATAGCAGTCAGGATTCACTGGCCTCAATGTGATTGCTAGAACATTAATGAACTCTTATGACAAGCACTGTAAAAATACAAATGGTAGTAGACTTAACAATGGCATCTAATTTATAACAAAATAAAGTAGAGAAAAACTATACATTATATATAATGGTAATAATAAGACACATGTGGTAGAAATACTGCAAATGAATTTTTTTTTTTCAAAACAAACAAAATAACTGCAGAGTGCACTCAATTATAAATTCTGCGGATATCTACACCTAGCTCATCCAGAGCACTATACAACTCTGGCTCTGACTGAAGGTCCGGAACAGATGAAACTTCATGTGACAAACTATCATCTTGAGAGATATCCTCGTTAACATCTAGCCAATGGACATGTGGTGAGTGCACGGTTGAAACGAGAGGTCTAGATCTAAGATTATAAGTGCTAGTATGGGGTTGCTGAATATTAAGTGGTCTGTCAACCACAGAAGGTGGTGTCCGAGTAGGAGTATCTGTCTGGGTAAGTTCATTGTCATCTTCCTCATCAGTCTCGTCAACAGTCATTTTAGCTAACTTCATGTGGTCTAAATGTTCATTTATATACTCTCCTGTTAACAAGTTCTTAAGTCTGTATTTGTTACCTTTAATAAGCTCGATTACCTTATATGGACCCAAAAATTTCTTAGTTAACTTGTACATAGGACCAGACCTGTGTTGGTTAAGTATCATTACTACAGATCCGATAGTTATTTTACTGGGTTTAGCTCGTGCATTCCTTGCCAGAGTGAACTCGGCTGTAGCTTTGGACAGTTGTTCTCGTATTTTCTTGAATACTAGTTGCATCTGTCTACGCTTCACTTGAACAAAATCATCTACGTTATATAAGGGAGTAGGAGGTACGTTAATCAATTCATTAGGGAGGATCTTATCTGTACCATAAAGAATAGCGTGAGGTGTGTCACCTGTAGAAACATTAATTGAAGAATTTATAGCACACTGAAATAAGGGTATAAAATCATCCCAATTGTTGTTATCAAAACTCAATGTGACTCTCAAGGCATCTAACACTTTCCTGTTAGTACGTTCGGCTAGTCCATTACTTGCTGGATGATAAGGCATGATGCTACATTTTTTGATGTTATATAAATCACACAAGCTAGTTAAAATACTATTACTGAATTCTGAACCATTATCTGAAAGGATTACTTTAGGCATACTATATCTACAAATTATTTGGTCATGGAATGCACTGGCTATAGTTTCTGCTGTTCGGGATAGGAACTAGTTCGCAAAACTGTCAAAAATTATCGACCATTACAAGCAAATGTTTGTTCCCTTTCTCTGTTTCCGCAAAATTTGTCAATAAATCCATCGATATTCGTTCCCAAGGAGCTTTAGTTGCTGGGTACACCTGAATTGGATTAGGTCCTGAAACATGTCCCTTGTGCTGTAAACAAGTTAAACATCTGTCAACATAATGAGCAATTTCCTTAGCCATTTTTGGCCAAAAATACTTCAATCGACCTTGTTGGAGTGTATGATCCTTTCCTGGATGTGCACTTGCAGGAGCATCATGGATAATTTTTAACACAGTTGGTACCAAGACAGCTGGAACAACTAGCATTTCCTTGGGGCTGTCCCTAGCTTTACTACTCTACACAGTAAATTGTCCAACATAACTAGTTCTTTCAATGGTACTGGCGGTTTATGAATCGGGCGAGTGTCTTGCTTAGTCAAAAATTTAATGACGGGTGCCCATATGGGGTCTTGTCTTTGTTCCGTTTCTACTACTGTAGCATCTAATGCTGGGTAATTTAACTGAATCGCAGCTACGTGTCGAGAAAACGCATCGGCTACAACATTTTGCTTTCCTGGAATATATCCAAATGTGGGATTGAATTCTTGAATTGTGAGCAAATATCTAGCAAACTTTCCAACTGGATTCTTATTTTTGAAAAAGGGAATTAATGGTTAGTGATCTGTAAGAACATGAACTGGGTAATTATAAATTGTATCCTTGAAATGTTTAAGTGCCCAGACAACTGCCAAGGCTTCTCGTTCTGTTGCGCTATAATTTTTCTCTTCTTTAGATAAAGTACGGCTAGCATAAGCTATTGCGTGATCTCTGTGACCTTCTGTTTGAAGTAATGCAGCACCTAGACCTATGTCACTAGCATCTGTAACCAACGTAAAAGGTTTAGAAAAATCTGGGTACCTAAGGACAGGTGACGAAATCAAGGCTGCTTTGAGTTTTTTGAATGACTGATCCTGGGCCTCTCCCCAAACAAAGGGTTCATCTTTTCTTTGCAACTTGTAAAGCGGAGCGGTTATAATAGAGAATCCAGCAATAAATGAACGATAAAATCCTACAAGACCTGTGAACTGTCTTACGGCTTCTGCGGTACGAGGTGTTGGAAAATCACGGGCAGCAATAATTTTTTATTCATTCAATGAATACAGTTACACCTGAAGGTGTAACTGTATGACCTAGGAAATTAATCTTCTGCTTTAAAAATGAACATTTTGCAAGTTTTATTTTTAAATTAGCTTCAGCGAGCTTTGCAAGTACTTTCTCAAGGTTCTGGAAATGAGTCTAAACATCTTGCGACATGATTATGAGATCATCAAGGTAAACTAGAAGCGTACTTCCTATCAATCTACGAAATAGATTTGTCATGAGCCGTGAAAAGGTTATTGGACTACTACGCAAACCAAACGGCATTCTTTTGAAATGAAAATGATCATTGGGAGTACTAAAGGCTGTCAATTGTTTACTTTCCTCATCAAGGGGGATTTGCCAGAATCCCTGCAACAAATCTAACGTTGAGAATACTTTGTTTCTACCAATACTTTGCAACAAATCATTTAGAACTGGAAGTGGGAAACGATCAGGTATTGTTACTCTGTTAAGCTTGCGATAATCGATTACAGGTCTCCAAGTCCCATCTCGCTTTGGTTCAAGAATCAATGGAGCGTTCCATGGCGAATTACTCGATTCAATTACATCACTCTGTAACATTTCCTCTACAAGTCTATCGGCTTCTGCTCTCTGAGAATGGGGAAGACGGTAAGCTGGTACATAAATAGGCGTAGTTCCTTGTTCAAGGGGAATTTTATGTGTAATAAGAGGAGTGAGACCTAATTTTTCTCCTGGTAGAGCAACAACAGCTGTATTTCTGTTCAAAATTTCCAAAAGCTGAGCCACAGAGTCAGGAAAATCAGTAGGACTGAGGTGTTGCGCTTGCACCTCCGGCTGAGATCCCTGTTCTCCTGGTGTGAGTGTACAAACAGTATGACCCATGGAGACATCATCCACAACTTGCACCGGTAACGAGTAATGGGCAAAATCTACAACATGGGTACCAGACTGGAGATGGATGTCGACATTACTAGTGTTTGCAATAAATAATATAACAGTACCATCCTGCACTGTGTGCCAGGAGGGTTCAACAAACGTACCATTCACTTTGCATGTTTCACTTTCCGCAATCACATCCGACAACTCAGGCACTCCCTGAACCTTACCTCTTATTCTGGTGAGAGAATGAGGGTGTAGCACAGTGTCAGTAGCCGTGGAACCACTGACTTCAGAGATGGAAGCTGCCAGGCGAACGAGACAATGAGAATTCGTTAGGACGTCCCCTTCCAGAAAGTCCCGATACTCATTCTCCTTAACAACTGCACAACTATAACTAAACATGTTATAGACAATGTGACATCATTGAACTTGAGTGGGAGGTCAATTTCACCCTGAACTTTTACTTTATTTCCTGAAATACCACTTAGAAAAGGTATGTGTGACTGTTTTAAAGTAGTAGGGTGCTTACTTTCAATGTCTCTAAAAGCTGAGGGCTTGACAATATTAATTTTTGCACCTGAGTCAAGAAAGACTTTTAAAACTCTACCATGTACAATGGCTGATACAAGGGGACCATCACTTGAGACTGGACAAGTTACTACTTTTGACTTATGTTGTCTGGGATATCTGCGTCTTGTTTGGGTCAAATTTACTGTGGATCCGTCAACATCTACAACTGGTCTAGAGTCAGTGTCCTCCTCTGTCAAGTGTCCAAATCTATTTTGGGTAGCTACTGAATACACAGGGAGGGCACTAGGATTGGCTAGCTTGAATTGGTTAGCGGATGGCCTTGGGGGTTTCCTGACGACATGGAGTGAACATTCTGAGCTCCAGCATTCTGTGATCGAGTATTGTAATTTGAAGTTGCATTATAACTGGGCTGGGAGTTGTAATTACGTGAGTTCTGATAATGTCTTGGACGCTGTGTGCCTCGCCAAGACTGACCGTGGGAGTTACGAGGTGGAGATGTCCTTTGCCTAGCTCTACAATTCGCAGTGTGGTGACCAACTTGTTTATGGTATTTGCAATATGGAAGCCTAGAATGATAAGATTGACGAGGGGACCGAGAGAATTGTCTAGGAGGTGATGATCTAGGGGCGGACCAACAGTCCCTTGCGAGGTGGTTACTCTTACCACAATGCCAACATGAGGGAGTGGATGGTTGTGGACTATGGCGTTTCGGCAATTTATGAGGCGGCGACTCTGACTGGGGGCTACGAGCATGGGTACGCTTCTGGGACCAAGAGTTTTGAGAGTTTGTGGGAGGATGCTGAGAGCTTGTTACTACATTTACAGTATCAGAGGGTGGCAACAGTTGAGCACTTCGGGGAGCTAGTTTATCGGCGGCATTGTTAATAGCCTCAAACACTTCACCAATTTCATGTTTAACACCAAAATTTTGTTGCTCAACGATTGGTTTAGTATGCTCGGGGGCAAAATGCATTAAAGTACCAAATGCTATCATTTTGGCCATAGCCTCAGGGGACAGATTATTGTCTTTATCTAACCAAGTCGAATTATTCATAGCAGACACTAAGGCATAAAGATACTGATCGAGACGGCTAGTAAACGCATTAAAAGATTCACCAGGCTGCATGGTGGCATTGGCAATTTTCTTAACTAACCTATACGGGTCAAGGTCTCCTTTATTAACAAAACGCCGGCGAAAGAAATCCTTAAATTCGGGCCAAGACTGGAGGCTAACAATGGCTTTCTCATCAACAACAAAACGTGCATCACCTTTGGTTGTGTCCACAGCTGACCGTGCAATTGCTAAGTATTGGGCATCAGTAGGCTTAGAAAAACGTGCAACTGTTTTCGCTTCAACCTTACTAAACCATGACTCTAATAAGCGCGATTCCCCAGCAAAAAGAGGAATAGCCATTTCCTGAGCTGATCTCTGGCCATTGGGACGAGCAACTGTTCCCGTTGAGTCTGAGGGGGTTTCAACAGTGGTAGGCATTGTCACAGCCGTGGAAGTAATATTTGAACGCAGGTTATAATTAAGTGCACCTGGCATCAGAAATAGTATACACAAAAATAAACACAAAAAAATATCAACTTGACTAAAGTAAAAAAATGGCAGGAATAAAATTATTAAATTGGGCTAGGCAAGAAAATAATTAAGAACAAGCAATTGTAAACTAAATTTAGCAATCTTTCATTAAAAAAATGACTGGAATTAGATGTATGTAAATTAATTAAACCAGACTAAGCACAGCAATTTAGAATAAAAACTGGGAAATGCAATTGCAAAATTTCATTAAAAAGATTCAACACAACAAGTGGCAATGCAAGAAATATGGATGTAGCACGTAAATTGTACACAGGAATGTATATAACTGCTATGGTAAAAATTTAAAATAAAATGCTTAAAGGATAAATTTCAAGTTAGGTCTGGAGAAATATAACAAATTTTCTATGTTCTATTGTCTATGGAAATCTCAAAAACAAATTTCTATTATGCAAAATAAACTGCTAGAAACAATTATTTCTTATTTCTCTCACCTTTGAATTCACCAATGACACTAGTAACAATTAATGAATAATGGAATCAATGCAGGGGATACTGAAATGTCTCAGAGAAACTGTGGGCCTGGAGTACTAAACCGGCTCCAATATTTAACAAGTCACTGAAAGGTTAATTCATAAGATATTTTGGATATATTTACGTTAAACCTCATTAAATCATAGCACACGATATCTTAGCTCATAATTACTTAACTCAGGGCTGCAGGATTTGCAATATAACAGTGGCCAAAACGAAAAACGGTAACGAGACGTGTGAAGAGGACCATGTGAGGGCTTGTTTACAAACTGGTGCGATGGCAGCGCTCCTGGCGGCGGTGGGGCGAAGCTCTGTAGAGACCCCCAAGCTCGGAATTGATGTTGGGAGCCCGAAGATAAACTCTGAGACGACGATATTGCGACGATGGCGGTGGAGAACACAATTTTCTAGGAGAAGTTCACACAAAACGATGTAGCAGGGGCTGGAGCTGGTGGCGACACTTAAGTCAAACAATTGCAGTCCACCAAATATTCTCAAGGAACAATACAGCACATACGATGATCAGGTGATGCTTGCGATGATGACTGACCACGATTTCAGTAGCTAGAACACTCACAAAGCTTAGATGCTGTCAGCTTAGGTGGCGGTGGTGGTGGTGGGTGCAGGTGGTTCCCACGTGGTGGCGCGAGATTCAAAAATGGCTGGCGCGGGAAGCTTCCTTCCTCCTCACTGATGATTGAGCGTTCTCACAGGAAAATATTGACCCTTACTTCTGAAACGTTGGCCTGGAGTAGTGGTTGATGGCAGGACCCCGGTCTGGCACAATATTTGATGCATGGGTGGCAGGATGGCGGCTTATGGCGGTGGCGGTGGCGGCTGGAACACGAGGCGATGCTGGGTACTTGAACTTTTGTTTCCAGAAAAAAATTTCTGGGTCCCACTACTGCTACCAGTATTCGTTTGCCTTGTTCGGGTTGAATGTAGACACAGTAGTCGCTTCTGTATATATTTATTGAGTGAGGCAAACAGGTGTATAACTGGCCAACCGAGGTCCACCTACTCTGAGTCTATGAGGAGAACTGAGGCTGCTGGGAGCATGCTTGATGCTCCTCTGTCTGGCATGACGTCAGAGGCTTACTAGCCTGTGATTGGTTACATTTCAACTGACAGAATTTGAGTATAACACAAAGAGTGATCTTGGAGCCTTCTTATGATAACTACACACTTCAAGGAGTGATCTTGGAGCCTTCTTATGATAACTACACACTTCAAGGAGTGATCTTGGAGCCTTCTTATGATAACTACACACTTCAAGGAGTGATCTTGGAGCCTTCTTATGATAACTACACACTTCAAGGAGTGATCTTGGAGCCTTCTTATGATAACTACACACTTCAAGGAGTGATCTTGGAGCTTTCTTATGATAACTACATAAATGGGTTGGCCTGGCCCGCCACACAGCTTGTGGGAACATGGCACAGGTGTGTGCATGGTTGGTCTGTCCCGCCACACAGCTTGTGGGAACATGGCACAGGTGTGTGCATGGTTGGCCTGGCCCGCCACACAGCTTGTGGGAACATGGCACAGGTGTGTGCATGGTTGGCCTGGCCCGCCACACAGCTTGTGGGAACATGGCCAGCTGTGTGCATGGTTGACACAGCTTGTGGGGACATGGTTGGATTAATAAACTCTTGGCAGAATGCTTCTTTATTGAGTAAATATTGAGCAGGATGTACACAAGCAGAGAGAGGTATTGTTTACCCTGGGCGCGTGGACGATGGAGCCGTGAGAGCAGCAGCGCACGTCTACTCCTCGAGGCTGCTGGAGCAGAACTGAAGACCCTCACCAACACACGCGGCGTACCTGTCATAAACATTACAAAAATTCAAACATCAATACCCTAATATATATATCTTTGAGAATATCTTTGCAGCAAAAAGTGGGCATGGTTGTGGGGTACTTGCGGGCATGTGGGGTACCTGAGGGCATGGGGTATGAAGGCGTTCTCGTGGATGCCAGTGAAGAGGTGGGCATGGGGGCCCATGGCATACAGCGCCACATCCTCCCCGGCGTGGTTTGACTGTTCCATGGGCACCGTCGCTGCTGCCACGTAGTGTGGGGCACCTGTGGGCACGGGTAGAGGGGTCAACTGTGGGCACGGGTAGAGGGGTCAGCTGTGGGCAGGGGTAGAGGGGTCAGCTGTGGGCAGGGGTAGAGAGGTCAGCTGTGGGCACGGGTAGAGGGGTCAGCTGTGGGCAGGGGGTAGAGAGGTCAGCTGTGGGCAGGGGTAGAGAGGTCAGCTGTGGGCACGGGTAGAGGGGTCAGCTGTGGGCAGGGGTAGAGAAGTCAGCTGTGGGCAGGTGTAGAGGGGTCAGCTGTGGGCAGGTGTAGAGGGGTCAGCTGTGGGCAGGTGTAGAGGGGTCAGCTGTGGGCAGGGGTAGAGAAGTCAGCTGTGGGCAGGTGTAGAGGGGTCAGCTGTGGGCAGGTGTAGAGGGGTCAGCTGTGGGCAGGGGTAGAGAGGTCAGCTGTGGGCAGGTGTAGAGAAGTCCGCCGTGGGCACGGGTAGAGAAGTCAGCTGTGGGCAGGTGTAGAGAAGTCAGCTGTGGGCAGGTGTAGAGAAGTCAGCTGTGGGCAGGTGTAGAGGGGTCAGCTGTGGGCAGGGGTAGAGAGGTCAGCTGTGGGCAGGTGTAGAGAAGTCCGCTGTGGGCAGGTGTAGAGAAGTCAGCTGTGGGCTCGGGTAGAGAAGTCAGCTGTGGGCAGGTGTAGAGAAGTCAGCTGTGGGCAGGTGTAGAGAAGTCAGCTGTGGGCAGGTGTAGAGGGGTCAGCTGTGGGCACGGGTAGAGAGGTCAGCTGTGGGCAGGGATAGAGAGGTCAGCTGTGGGCAGGGGTAGAGAGGTCAGCTGTGGGCAGGTGTAGAGGGGTCAGCTGTGGGCAGGTGTAGAGGGGTCAGCTGTGGGCAGGGGTAGAGAAGTCAGCTGTGGGCAGGTGTAGAGGGGTCAGGTGTGGGCACGGGTAGAGAGGTCAGCTGTGGGCAGGGATAGAGAGGTCAGCTGTGGCCAGGTGTAGAGAAGTCAGCTGTGGGCAGGTGTAGAGGGGTCAGCTGTGGGCAGGGGTAGAGAGGTCAGCTGTGGGCAGGTGTAGAGGGGTCAGCTGTGGGCAGGTGTAGAGGGGTCAGCTGTGGGCAGGTGTAGAGGGGTCAGCTGTGGACAGGTGTAGAGAAGTCAGCTTTGGGCAGGTGTAGAGGGGTCAGCTGTGGGCAGGTGTAGAGGGGTCAGCTGTGGGCAGGTGTAGAGGAGCCAGCTGTAGGCAGGGGTAGAGAGGTCAGCTGTGGGCAGGTGTAGAGGGGTCAGCTGTGGGCAGGTGTAGAGAAGTCAGCTGTGGGCAGGTGTAGAGAAGTCAGCTGTGGGCAGGTGTAGAGAAGTCAGCTGTGGGCAGGTGTAGAGGGGTCAGCTGTGGGCAGGGGTAGAGAGGTCAGCTGTGGGCAGGTGTAGAGAAGTCCGCTGTGGGCAGGTGTAGAGAAGTCAGCTGTGGGCTCGGGTAGAGAAGTCAGCTGTGGGCAGGTGTAGAGAAGTCAGCTGTGGGCAGGTGTAGAGAAGTCAGCTGTGGGCAGGTGTAGAGGGGTCAGCTGTGGGCACGGGTAGAGAGGTCAGCTGTGGGCAGGGATAGAGAGGTCAGCTGTGGGCAGGGGTAGAGAGGTCAGCTGTGGGCAGGTGTAGAGGGGTCAGCTGTGGGCAGGTGTAGAGGGGTCAGCTGTGGGCAGGGGTAGAGAAGTCAGCTGTGGGCAGGTGTAGAGGGGTCAGCTGTGGGCACGGGTAGAGAGGTCAGCTGTGGGCAGGGATAGAGAGGTCAGCTGTGGCCAGGTGTAGAGAAGTCAGCTGTGGGCAGGTGTAGAGGGGTCAGCTGTGGGCAGGGGTAGAGAGGTCAGCTGTGGGCAGGTGTAGAGGGGTCAGCTGTGGGCAGGTGTAGAGGGGTCAGCTGTGGGCAGGTGTAGAGGGGTCAGCTGTGGACAGGTGTAGAGAAGTCAGCTTTGGGCAGGTGTAGAGGGGTCAGCTGTGGGCAGGTGTAGAGGGGTCAGCTGTGGGCAGGTGTAGAGGAGCCAGCTGTAGGCAGGGGTAGAGAGGTCAGCTGTGGGCAGGTGTAGAGGGGTCAGCTGTGGGCAGGTGTAGAGAAGTCAGCTGTGGGCAGGTGTAGAGGGGTCAGCTGTGGGCAGGTGTAGAGAAGTCAGCTGTGGGCAGGGGTAAAGAGGTCAGCTGTGGGCACGGGTAGAGAGGTTAGCTGTGGGCAGGGGTAGAGAATGACCTCTGGGCAGGGATAGAGAATGACCTCTGGGCAGGGATAGAGAATGACCTCTGGGCAGGGATAGAGAATGACCTCTGGGCAGGGGTAGAGAATGACCTCTGGGCAGGGACAGAGAATGACCTCTGGGCAGGGGTAGAGAATGACCTCTGGGCAGGGACAGAGAATGACCTCTGGGCAGGGGTAGAGAATGACCTCTGGGCAGGGGTAGAGAATGACCTCTGGGCAGGGGTAGAGAATGACCTCTGGGCAGGGGTAGAGAATGACCTCTGGGCAGGGGTAGAGAATGACCTCTGGGCAGGGATAGAGAATGACCTCTGGGCAGAGATAGAGAATGACCTCTGGGCAGGGATAGAGAATGACCTCTGGGCAGGGATAGAGAATGACCTCTGGGCAGGGATAGAGAATGACCTCTGGGCAGGGACAGAGAATGACCTCTGGGCAGGGGTAGAGAATGACCTCTGGGCAGGGATAGAGAATGACCTCTGGGCAGGGGTAGAGAATGACCTCTGGGGGATAGAGAATGACCTCTGGGCAGAGATAGAGAATGTCCTCTGGGCAGGGGTAGAGAATGACCTCTGGGCAGGGATAGAGAATGACCTCTGGGCAGAGATAGAGAATGTCCTCTGGGCAGGGGTAGAGAATGACCTCTGGGCAGGGATAGAGAATGACCTCTGGGCAGGGGTAGAGAATGACCTCTGGGCAGGGATAGAGAATGACCTCTGGGCAGGGACAGAGAATGACCTCTGGGCAGGGGTAGAGAATGACCTCTGGGCAGGGATAGAGAATGACCTCTGGGCAGAGATAGAGAATGACCTCTGGACAGGGATAGAGAATGACCTCTGGGCAGGGGTAGAGAATGACCTCTGGGCAGGGGTAGAGAATGACCTCTGGGCAGGGACAGAGAATGACCTCTGGGCAGGGGTAGAGAATGACCTCTGGGCAGGGGTAGAGAATGACCTGTGGACAGGGATAGAGAATGACCTCTGGGCAGGGGTAGAGAATGACCTCTGGGCAGGGGTAGAGAATGACCTCTGGGCAGGGACAGAGAATGACCTCTGGGCAGGGGTAGAGAATGACCTCTGGGCAGGGGTAGAGAATGACCTCTGGGCAGGGGTAGAGAATGACCTCTGGGCAGGGGTAGAAAGTTGAGCAATAAAATTAAAAAAATCAATATTATGTAGTAAAAAGCTTTTTAATGTTCAAATGTACCGATTTTGACCCGATTACTTATCTAAGTTTAAAGAGTCATAATATAGGAAAGCATAGGACAAGTGAAAGTTATTTAATTTCAACCAAAATATTCCGACTAGTTATATATGAAAAGGGCTGCAAATGATCCAAGTTTCAGCCTCGCAGCCTAAATAGAAAGGGTGAAAAAAATATATATTTTCAACAAAATTAAAAATTTTCAAAAATCCACATTACACACAAGTGTTAATTGATATCATGTCTATGACTCTCAGCTGTGACAATAGCATATAATAAAGAATTTAAATATTTATTTTTTATCCAATATATATATTCAGTTAAAAAAAAGTTTAGAATTTTTTCTTTCTTTTTCCTAGTTTTTTCTCATTTCTTATAGGTTGATTTGCATGAAATTAACACACCTTACTGAACGGTAATGGTTCCAATTTTGGAGTAAATCGGTTGATATCAACCTCAGCCACAGGTGGGTTGATATCAACCTCAGCCACAGGTGGGTTGATATCAACCTCAGCTACAGGTGGGTTGATATCAACCTCTGCCACAGGTGGGTTGATATCAACCTCAGCTACAGGTGGGTTGATATCAACCTCTGCCACAGGTGGGTTGATATCAACCTCTGCCACAGGTGGGTTGATATCAACCTCAGCCACAGGTGGGTTGATATCAACCTCTGCCACAGGTGGGTTGATATCAACCTCAGCCACAGGTGGGTTGATATCAACCTCTGCCACAGGTGGGTTGATATCAACCTCAGCCACAGGTGGGTTGATATCAACCTCAGCCACAGGTGGGTTGATATCAACCTCTGCCACAGGTGGGTTGATATCAACCTCTGCCACAGGTGGGTTGATATCAACCTCAGCCACAGGTGGGTTGATATCAACCTCTGCCACAGGTGGGTTGATATCAACCTCAGCCACAGGTGGGTTGATATCAACCTCTGCCACAGGTGGGTTGATATCAACCTCAGCCACAGGTGGGTTGATATCAACCTCTGCCACAGGTGGGTTGATATCAACCTCTGCCACAGGTGGGTTGATATCAACCTCAGCCACAGGTGGGTTGATATCAACCTCAGCCACAGGTGGGTTGATATCAACCTCAGCCACAGGTGGGTTGATATCAACCTCAGCCACAGGTGGGTTGATATCAACCTCTGCCACAGGTGGGTTGATATCAACCTCAGCCACAGGTGGGTTGATATCAACCTCAGCCACAGGTGGGTTGATATCAACCTCAGCCACAGGTGGGTTGATATCAACCTCAGCCACAGGTGGGTTGATATCAACCTCAGCCACAGGTGGGTTGATATCAACCTCAGCCACAGGTGGGTTGATATCAACCTCAGCCACAGGTGGGTTGATATCAACCTCAGCCACAGGTGGGTTGATATCAACCTCAGCCACAGGTGGGTTGATATCAACCTCAGCCACAGGTGGGTTGATATCAACCTTAGCCACAGGTGGGTTGATATCAACCTCAGCCACAGGTGGGTTGATATCAACCTCAGCCACAGGTGGGTTGATATCAACCTCAGCCACAGGTGGGTTGATATCAACCTCAGCCACAGGTGGGTTGATATCAACCTCAGCCACAGGTGGGTTGATATCAACCAGGTGGGTTGATATCAACCTCAGCCACAGGTGGGTTGATATCAACCTCAGCCACAGGTGGGTTGATATCAACCTCAGCCACAGGTGGGTTGATATCAACCTATCAAGCCACAGGTGGGTTGATATCAACCTCAGCCACAGGTGGGTTGATATCAACCTCAGCCACAGGTGGGTTGATATCAACCTAGCCACAGGTGGGTTGATATCAACCTCAGCCACAGGTGGGTTGATATCAACCTCAGCCACAGGTGGGTTGATATCAACCTCAGCCACAGGTGGGTTGATATCAACCTTAGCCACAGGTGGGTTGATATCAACCTCAGCCACAGGTGGGTTGATATCAACCTCAGCCACAGGTGGGTTGATATCAACCTCAGCCACAGGTGGGTTGATATCAACCTCTGCCACAGGTGGGTTGATATCAACCTCAGCCACAGGTGGGTTGATATCAACCTCTGCCACAGGTGGGTTGATATCAACCTCAGCCACAGGTGGGTTGATATCAACCTCAGCCACAGGTGGGTTGATATCAACCTCAGCCACAGGTGGCAGAATCTCTGACCATTTTTTCAGGTAAATCATTTACAACATAAAGGTGACTACTCTTTCTTTTATAAATAAATTGACATGAAACTTACACCTTATATGTAGAGTTTCCTGCCTCTACAATTTGCAGGATTTTTTCTCCTAAGTACATTTATTGATTTTATAAATAACTATAAACATGATATTATTGCATAATTAAACGGGGGGGGGAATAGTTTTTATTAGTAAAACTAAAAATATTTTGTATAGTAATGAATCTACAACTTCTTTATTATATGCTATTGTGATAGCTGAGTGTCATAAAAATGATTTCATTTGACACTTGTGTTTGTAGAGTAGTTATGAAAATGTTAAAAATTTGTTGGAAAAAAAAACTATTTTCTCCCTTTCTATTTAAGCTGCGATGCAAAAACTTGGACCGGTTTTAGCCCTTTTCATATACAAATAGTAAAAAATATTGATTGAAGTAGAACAATTTTTTAGTGGACTATGTTATGGCCCCTTAAGACTATAAGCTGTCGTGCACATTAACTACAAGTGCACAGTTAACTGCCTCCCACAGGGTGACCTACAAGTGCACAGTTAACTGCCTCCCACAGGGTGACCTACAAGTACACAGTTAACTGCCTCCCACAGGGTGACCTACAAGTACACAGTTAACTGCCTCCCACAGGGTGAACTACAAGTGCACAGTTAACTGCCTCCCACAGGGTGAACTACAAGTGCACAGTTAACTGCCTCCCACAGGGTGAACTACAAGTACACAGTTAACTGCCTCCCACAGGGTGAACTACAAGTGCACAGTTAACTGCCTCCCACAGGGTGAACTACAAGTGCACAGTTAACTGCCTCCCACAGGGTGAACTACAAGTGCACAGTTAACTGCCTCCCACAGGGTGACCTACAAGTGCACAGTTAACTGCCTCCCACAGGGTGACCTACAAGTACACAGTTAACTGCCTCTCATAGGGTGACCTACAAGTACACAGTTAACTGCCTCCCACAGGGTGAACTACAAGTGCACAGTTAACTGCCTCCCACAGGGTGAACTACTGGACAACCCCCCAACATGAGAGGTAATGTGACTGACTGTAGTCTTCCAGTGCGGGGTCTGGTCTGGCGCCGTCTACCTGCGTGCGGTAGCCCGGACCATTGGTGTAGAGAAGCGTGGTGAAGGCCAGTCCGTCCACGTCGGAGTAGTCCCCCAGACCTGCAAGTGTGGTAGTCTTCGGTGGCTGCTGGGGGATGCTGGTGGTGGTGCTGGGGGCTGGTGGTGGTGCTGGGGGCTGGTGGTGGTGCTGGGGGCTGGTGGTGGTGCTGGGGGCTGGTGGTGGTGCTGGGGGCTGGTGGTGGTGCTGGGGGCTGGTGGTGGTGCTGGGGGCTGGTGGTGGTGCTGGGGGCTGGTGGTGGTGCTGGGGGATGCTGGTGGTGGTGCTGGGGGCTTATGGTGGTGCTGGGGGCTGGTTATGGGTGGGGTGGGGTGGCTTCTGGGGCCTACTGGACTATTCATTTCAACTAGAAGTCATTGTGATCAAACATTTAAAGTCATTTGCAGACATTGTGATTGTCTGCAAAGGATGACACAGAGCTGTGACTAGTCTGGCGACCAACACTCACGACCACAACCACAGTCTGGCGACCAACACTCACGACCACAACCACAGTCTGACGACCAACACTCACGACCACAACCACAGTCTGACGACCAACACTCACGACCACAACCACAGTCTGGCGACCAACACTCACGACCACAACCACAGTCTGACGACCAACACTCACGACCACAACCACAGTCCAGCGACCAAAACATTCACTCGCCTACCCTCTCTCTCTCTCTTTCCCTCTTCCCTCTGTATTCTCACTCTCATTTTCCCCAGTCCCCGCTCTCCCCCACGCCCCGCTCTCCCACACTCCCCACTCTCTCCCACTCACCCAGCACATCGGAGCCTCTCTCCTGGTAGCCGTTGATGACCATGGGCTGAGAGTGGTCAGCGGTGACGACGATGAGTGTGTCCTGAGGGTCCGTCATAGACACAGCCAACTCGATGGCCTTCTCGAACTCGAGGGCCTCCTCCAGGGCGGACCTGTGCTGGTTGAGGTGGTGGGCGAGGTCGATGTTACCTCCTGTGGGGCGGTGGAGGCAGGTCAGTAGGGCCTGGGCAGGTCTCTGTGGTTGGTCAGTTATGGCGCCACATGTAACTACAGTACATGGTTGACACATGTGGTGTCACATAAAGTAAGAACACATTGTGTCACATGAAGCAACACTGCATCACACACATTAAGAACAGACACAGAGAGTCAAGAGAGTCAGGAGAGTACTGACCTTCGACACAGAGAGTCAGGAGAGTACTGACCTTCGACACAGAGAGTCAGGAGAGTACTGACCTTCGACACAGAGAGTCAGGAGAGTACTGACCTTCGACACAGAGAGTCAAGAGAGTACTGACCTTCGACACAGAGAGTCAAGAGAGTACTGACCTTCGACACAGAGAGTCAGGAGAGTACTGACCTTCGACACAGAGAGTCAGGAGAGTACTGACCTTCGACACAGAGTCAGGAGAGTACTGACCTTCGACACAGAGAGTCAGGAGAGTACTGACCTTCGACACAGAGTCAGGAGAGTACTGACCTTCGACACAGAGTCAGGAGAGTACTGACCTTCGACACAGAGAGTCAAGAGAGTACTGACCTTCGACACAGAGAGTCAGGAGAGTACTGACCTTCGACACAGAGAGTCAAGAGAGTACTGACCTTCGACACAGAGAGTCAAGAGAGTACTGACCTTCGACACAGTGAGTCAGGAGAGTACTGACCTTCGACACAGAGAGTCAGGAGAGTACTGACCTTCGACACAGAGAGTCAGGAGAGTACTGACCTTCGACACAGAGAGTCAGGAGAGTACTGACCTTCGACACAGAGAGTCAGGAGAGTACTGACCTTCGACACAGAGTCAAGAGAGTACTGACCTTCGACACAGTGAGTCAGGAGAGTACTGACCTTCGACACAGAGAGTCAGGAGAGTACTGACCTTCGACACAGAGAGTCAAGAGAGTACTGACCTTCGACACAGAGAGTAAAGAGAGTACTGACCTTCGACACAGAGAGTCAGGAGAGTACTGACCTTCGACACAGAGAGTCAAGAGAGTACTGACCTTCGACACAGAGAGTCAGGAGAGTACTGACCTTCGACACAGAGAGTAAAGAGAGTACTGACCTTCGACACAGAGAGTCAAGAGAGTACTGACCTTCGACACAGAGAGTCAGGAGAGTACTGACCTTCGACACAGAGAGTCAGGAGAGTACTGACCTTCGACACAGAGTCAAGAGAGTACTGACCTTCGACACAGAGAGTCAAGAGAGTACTGACCTTCGACACAGAGAGTCAGGAGAGTACTGACCTTCGACACAGAGAGTCAAGAGAGTACTGACCTTCGACACAGAGAGTCAGGAGAGTACTGACCTTCGACACAGAGAATCAGGAGAGTACTGACCTTCGACACAGAGAGTCAGGAGAGTACTGACCTTCGACACAGAGAGTCAGGAGAGTACTGACCTTCGACACAGAGAGTCAAGAGAGTACTGACCTTCGACACAGAGAGTCAGGAGAGTACTGACCTTCGACACAGAGAGTCAGGAGAGTACTGACCTTCGACACAGAGAGTCAAGAGAGTACTGACCTTCGACACAGAGAGTCAGAAGAGTACTGACCTTCGACACAGAGAGTCAAGAGAGTACTGACCTTCGACACAGAGAGTCAAGAGAGTACTGACCTTCGACACAGAGAGTCAGGAGAGTACTGACCTTCGACACAGAGAGTCAAGAGAGTACTGACCTTCGACACAGAGAGACAGGAGAGTACTGACCTTCGACACAGAGAGTCAAGAGAGTACTGACCTTCGACACAGAGAGTCAAGAGAGTACTGACCTTCGACACAGAGAGTCAAGAGAGTACTGACCTCCGACACAGAGAGTCAAGAGAGTACTGACCTTCGACACAGAGAGTCAGGAGAGTACTGACCTTCGACACAGAGAGTCAAGAGAGTACTGACCTTCGACACAGAGAGTCAGGAGAGTACTGACCTTCGACACAGAGAGTCAGGAGAGTACTGACCTTCGACACAGAGAGTCAGGAGAGTACTGACCTTCGACACAGAGAGTCAGGAGAGTACTGACCTTCGACACAGAGAGTCAGGAGAGTACTGACCTTCGACACAGAGAGTCAAGAGAGTACTGACCTTCGACACAGAGAGTCAGGAGAGTACTGACCTTCGACACAGAGAGTCAAGAGAGTACTGACCTTCGACACAGAGAGTCAAGAGAGTACTGACCTTCGACACAGAGAGTCAGGAGAGTACTGACCTTCGACACAGAGAGTCAAGAGAGTACTGACCTTCGACACAGAGAGTCAGGAGAGTACTGACCTTCGACACAGAGAGTCAAGAGAGTACTGACCTTCGACACAGAGAGTCAAGAGAGTACTGACCTTCGACACAGAGAGTCAAGAGAGTACTGACCTTCGACACAGAGAGTCAGAGACTGACCTTCGACACAGAGAGAGAGTACTGACCTTCGACACAGAGAGTCAAGAGAGTACTGACCTTCGACACAGAGAGTCAGGAGAGTACTGACCTTCGACACAGAGAGTCAAGAGAGTACTGACCTTCGACACAGAGAGTCAAGAGAGTACTGACCTTCGACACAGAGAGTCAAGAGAGTACTGACCTTCGACACAGAGAGTCAGGAGAGTACTGACCTTCGACACAGAGAGTCAAGAGAGTACTGACCTTCGACACAGAGAGTCAAGAGAGTACTGACCTTCGACACAGAGAGTCAAGAGAGTACTGACCTTCGACACAGAGAGGAGAGTACTGACCTTCGACACAGAGAGTCAAGAGAGTACTGACCTTCGACACAGAGAGTCAAGAGAGTACTGACCTTCGACACAGAGAGTCAGGAGAGTACTGACCTTCGACACAGAGAGTCAAGAGAGTACTGACCTTCGACACAGAGAGTCAAGAGAGTACTGACCTTCGACACAGAGTCAGTCAAGAGAGTACTGACCTTCGACACAGAGAGTCAAGAGAGTACTGACCTTCGACACAGAGAGTCAAGAGAGTACTGACCTTCGACACAGAGAGTCAAGAGAGTACTGACCTTCGACACAGAGAGTCAAGAGAGTACTGACCTTCGACACAGAGAGTCAAGAGAGTACTGACCTTCGACACAGAGAGTCAAGAGAGTACTGACCTTCGACACTGACCTTCGAGAGTCAGGAGAGTACTGACCTTCGACACAGAGAGTCAGGAGAGTACTGACCTTCGACACAGAGAGTCAGGAGAGTACTGACCTTCGACACAGAGAGTCAAGAGAGTACTGACCTTCGACACAGAGAGTCAAGAGAGTACTGACCTTCGACACAGAGAGTCAAGAGAGTACTGACCTTCGACACAGAGAGTCAAGAGAGTACTGACCTTCGACACAGAGAGTCAAGAGAGTACTGACCTTCGACACAGAGAGTCAGGAGAGTACTGACCTTCGACACAGAGAGTCAGGAGATAACATTGATCCTACCTCGATCTAACATTGATCCTACCTCGATCTAACATTGATCCTACCTCGATCTAACATTGATCCTACCTCGATCTAACATTGATCCTACCTCGATCTAACATTGATCCTACCTCGATCTAACATTGATCCTACCTTGATCTAACATTGATCCTACCTTGATCTAACATTGATCCTACCTTGATCTAACATTGATCCTACCTTGATCTAACATTGATCCTACCTTGATCTAACATTGATCCTACCTTGATCTAACATTGATCCTACGCTGACTTCAAATTCAAATGTTTATTCAGGTAAAGGTACATACATAGAAGATGAGTTACAAACATAATGTTGGATTTAAAGATTTAAAGATAGAGCTCAACCATACAATACCTAAAGCCACTAATACGCATAGCGTTTCGGGCAAGGTGTGAGGGGGGAAAACCCACTTAGATTAAAACTCAATAGTAATTGAGATTAAATTACTTACAGAGTAAGATAACAGCTTAAGACTTGAGCTCTTACATAATAAGATAGCAGCTTAAGACTTGAGCTCTTACATAGTAAGATAACAGCTTAAGACTTGAGCTCTTACATAGTAAGATAACAGCTTAAGACTTGAGCTCTTACATAGTAAGATAACAGCTTAAGACTTGAGCTCTTACATAGTAAGATAACAGCTTAAGACTTGAGCTCTTACATAGTAAGATAACAGCTTAAGACTTGAGCTCTTACATAGTTGTATGAGGAGACCCAGTGTTGGTCCCACTATCTTGGTCATCTCCACTTCCGGCAAATGTGTTTTTACTTCATGTATGATAATCTCAACGTCCTCAAGTACTGCTAAGATTGGCACAACCTTCTTAATTTTGGGAATTTGTTCTTTGTTTATTGTGGAGACCTCTTAAAATCTCCTACATACCCCTGGAACATACCTGGAGAGGGTTTTGGGAGTTCTTTTACTCCCCCGAGCACGATGCCAGGCTCGACTTGCGATAACTTGGTCCAACAGGCTGTTGCTTGGAGTGGCCCGCAGGCCCACATATATACCACAGCTTGGTCGGTCCGACACTTCTTGCACGAACCTGTGTAAGTGCCTCTTGAAGTGCCTCTATTTCATAATCAGTTCCATTACTGTTGTTTCACTGATGTGGTTACCAAACAACTGGGGTTCACAACCTCTCACTGCTCTCTGTCATTCCTGTAATTTTTCTGTAATTCCCCGAAATTCATCCTTCCTCGTGAGTTTAGTTAAACCATGGGGGATAGTCCTATACCTTTCATTGCCAAGAGAGGCTTCGAAGTTTATTTACCTTTCTCTGATTCATTCATAATGAATTCAACCTGTTCTTGCCCTAGCTTATAGTCAATATCTTACTTATGAATAAGTGCATATGTGACATACGAATTTATTGTGAATATATGAGTTTACCTTGAAAAGCTGAATAGAAAACCACAACCTAACCTAACTTTCTTAGTATGTTAAGATATTACAATTAGTACTGAACCTATACCTTTATTGATAATACAGTTATATAAAAATGATTTTTTTTAAATAAATTGTAAAGTAACTCAGGATATTGTCAAATTTTGTATAAAATCTTTATTGTTTAATAAAACTGAGAGAAAAAGTTAGTGCCTTGAAAAAAAAGGCTTGGAGCATGTCACATATTTACTTATTTATAAACCAAATAGTGACTATAAGCAATAAGTCATATATGTGCTGTCTTGTGCTAGAGCAGGTTGCAGAATAACAATTCAAGTATGATTCATATTTCTTCTCATTCTTCTGAGTCCATTTCCATTTGAGAATAGAAACATTCTGTCTGTCACTTGTATTAGTTTAGCATTCGACACATCAATGTTGTCATGGGAGTCTCAGTTTTCCCAATCTATCTTACAATGGTTGAAGTCCTTAATAATGATAGAGTTGAGACCCACTCCCCTGTAAGTGAGGCAGTTGCTCCCATTATGGTAACAACTTGCCCGAAACGCATTGCGTAATAGTGGCTTTAGGCATTGTATGTACTAGCTCTATCTATATATCAATCCATTAATGTAACATCACTTGTATGTATGTATGTACCTTACCTGAATAAACATATATTTATATTTATATATAAGTGTCCTTGTGTACCGACCCTACTAATTTCTAGATCTATTATATTGTGGAGGACTTTCTATCACTGATAATAGTTTCTCCCCTCCCCCCCCCCAGTATTATTATGACGTCTTCAAACCTCCACACATTCCTGGGGCCAGATTCACGAAAGCACTTAGGCAAGCACTTACGAAGGTGTACATCTTTCCTCAATCTTTGACGGCTTTGGTTACATTTATTAAACAGTTTACAAGCATGAAAACTTGCCAATCAACTGTTGTTATTGTTATAAACAGCCTCCTGGTGCTTCGGAGCTCATTAACTGTTTAATAATTGGAAACAAAGCCGCCAAAGATTGAGAAAAGATGTACAGGTTCGTAAGTGCTTGCGTAAGTGCTTTCGCTGGTCACAAGTGCCACCTGCATCCTTCTTCTCACTCTATCACAGCATCACAACCCTCAGAGGACACACGTGTAGTTGATCATGATCATGACTACAAGCCTGAAATTTACTCATTAGGTATTTACCGGGTTCCTGAGGGAGACGTGCCCGGAGGCTCCTGGGAACCTTCACCCCTCAACCCGTCCTCGACGCAAGTCCATTACATCCAGCGGTCGACCCCACAGACGCATTCATAAATTTTACCATGCTGTTCATTCAAAGCAGGAATTTTCTTAAATATAAATTAATATTATTATATATTAGCATATTGTGCATATTTAGACTTTGGTTTCGATAGGTGTTTAGGTTCTGTTGGCGATTATTTGTATTTGTAGTCCGTGGGTGAAGCATTTACAGCGTTGTGGTTCGAACAAAAGTCATCGAAGCACTTGTTACAGCCCGTCCTCCAAACAAAGTCCCAAAGTGATTCCATGCACCTGCCAATCACCCTGGTGTTTATGAATGAAAAACGGTTTACACACGACTCACAACTAATGACATCCGAATAATTCCGGAACTGACTTCACTGAAAACTTTTGTTCGAACCACAACGCTAAATGCTTCACCCACATACGCCAAATACAAATAATCGCCAATTGAACCTAAACACCTAACCTAACCTTTGCCTATATATGCACAATATACTAATATATTATAATATTAATTTACATTTGAGAAATTTCCCGTTTTGAATGAACAGCATGTAAAAATTTATGAATGTGTCTGTAGGATCGACCGCTGGGTGGAATGGACTTGGTCTGAGGACAGGTTGGTATTAAACGGGGGATACTTCACCAAATAGATATCTCATGACATTCAACTCTAGATTATTACACAGATATACTTATAATTAGTTCATTTTAATTAGTATTAAAATTAGTTAAGCTGTGTTGGCTTATCACAGTACGATAAGTTTACCCATGAGGTAGTCAGTGCTGCCAGTGTCGACGGCAAGGAGGTCGTCGCGGTTCCAGACGTAGGAGGCGTTCCCCAGGAGGGCCTTGTGGTCTAACCAAGTCTGGATGAGGTCCTTGCCGTCCCGTCTCTTCCCGCTCTTGCCTCCTTCAGGGTCCTCTCTCGCCTGTGGGGTCAGTTTCTGACGTCCGCCACCCAAGATAACCTGTTGCCGAGGGTCGTATATTGTATAGGTCGTATTATTAGCGTTATAGAAGTCGTATATAGCATTGGACTCGGTCGTATATGGCAATGGACTCGGTCGAATATGGCATTGGACTCGGTCGTATATGGCATCAAAACATCGTGCTGCCACATGCAGTAGCCTCGTGCTGCCACATGCAGTAGCCTCGTGCTGCCACATGCAGTAGCCTCGTGCTGCCACATGCAGTAGCCTCGTGCTGCCACATGCAGTAGTCCCGTGCTACCACATGCAGTAGTCCCGTGCTGCCACATGCAGTAGCCTCGTGCTGCCACATGCAGTAGCCTCGTGCTGCCACATGCAGTAGTCCCGTGCTACCACATGCAGTAGTCCCGTGCTACCACATGCAGTAGCCTCGTGCTGCCACATGCAGTAGCCTCGTGCTGCCACATGCAGTAGTCCCGTGCTGCCACATGCAGTAGTCCCGTGCTGCCACATGCAGTAGCCCCGTGCTGCCACATGCAGTAGCCTCGTGCTGCCACATGCAGTAGCCCCGTGCTGCCACATGCAGTAGCCTCGTGCTGCCACATGCAGTAGCCTCGTGCTGCCACATGCAGTAGCCTCGTGCTGCCACATGCAGTAGTCCCGTGCTACCACATGCAGTAGCCCCGTGCTGCCACATGCAGTAGCCTCGTGCTGCCACATGCAGTAGCCTCGTGCTGCCACATGCAGTAGCCTCGTGCTGCCACATGCAGTAGCCTCGTGCTGCCACATGCAGTAGCCTCGTGCTGCCACATGCAGTAGTCCCGTGCTGCCACATGCAGTAGCCTCGTGCTGCCACATGCAGTAGCCTCGTGCTGCCACATGCAGTAGTCCCGTGCTGCCACATGCAGTAGTCCCGTGCTACCACATGCAGTAGTCCCGTGCTGCCACATGCAGTAGCCTCGTGCTGCCACATGCAGTAGCCTCGTGCTGCCACATGCAGTAGTCCCGTGCTACCACATGCAGTAGCCTCGTGCTGCCACATGCAGTAGCCTCGTGCTACCACATGCAGTAGTCCCGTGCTGCCACATGCAGTAGCCTCGTGCTACCACATGCAGTAGTCCCGTGCTGCCACATGCAGTAGCCCCGTGCTGCCACATGCAGTAGCCTCGTGCTGCCACATGCAGTAGTCCCGTGCTACCACATGCAGTAGCCCCGTGCTGCCACATGCAGTAGCCTCGTGCTGCCACATGCAGTAGCCTCGTGCTGCCACATGCAGTAGCCCCGTGCTGCCACATGCAGTAGCCTCGTGCTGCCACATGCAGTAGTCCCGTGCTACCACATGCAGTAGCCTCGTGCTGCCACATGCAGTAGCCTCGTGCTGCCACATGCAGTAGTCCCGTGCTACCACATGCAGTAGCCTCGTGCTGCCACATGCAGTAGCCTCGTGCTGCCACATGCAGTAGTCCCGTGCTACCACATGCAGTAGCCTCGTGCTGCCACATGCAGTAGCCTCGTGCTACCACATGCAGTAGTCCCGTGCTGCCACATGCAGTAGCCTCGTGCTACCACATGCAGTAGTCCCGTGCTGCCACATGCAGTAGCCAGTGCTGCCACATGCAGTAGCCTCATGCTGCCAGAGGCAGTAGCCTCGTGCTGCCACATGCAGTAGCCTCGTGCTACCACATGCAGTAGTCCCGTGCTGCCACATGCAGTAGTCCCGTGCTGCCACATGCAGTAGCCCCGTGCTGCCACATGCAGTAGCCCCGTGCTGCCACATGCAGTAGCCTCATGCTGCCAGAGGCAGTAGCCTCGTGCTGCCACATGCTGCCAGAGGCAGTAGTCCCGTGCTGCCACATGCAGTAGTCCCGTGCTACCACATGCAGTAGTCCCGTGCTGCCACATGCAGTAGTCCCGTGCTGCCACATGCAGTAGTCCCGTGCTACCACATGCAGTAGCCTCGTGCTGCCACATGCAGTAGCCTCGTGCTGCCACATGCAGTAGCCTCGTGCTGCCACATGCAGTAGTCCCGTGCTACCACATGCAGTAGCCTCGTGCTGCCACATGCAGTAGCCTCATGCTGCCACATGCAGTAGCCTCGTGCTGCCAGATGCAGTAGCCTCGTGCTGCCACATGCAGTAGTCCCGTGCTGCCACATGCAGTAGTCCGGTGCTACCACATGCAGTAGCCTCATGCTGCCAGATGCAGTAGCCTCGTGCTGCCAGATGCAGTAGCCTCGTGCTGCCACATGCAGTAGCCCCGTGCTGCCACATGCAGTAGTCCCGTGCTACCACATGCAGTAGTCCCGTGCTGCCACATGCAGTAGCCTCGTGCTGCCACATGCAGTAGCCTCGTGCTACCACATGCAGTAGCCTCGTGCTACCACATGCAGTAGCCCCGTGCTGCCACATGCAGTAGCCTCGTGCTACCACATGCAGTAGCCTCGTGCTACCACATGCAGTAGCCTCGTGCTGCCACATGCAGTAGCCTCGTGCTACCACATGCAGTAGCCTCGTGCTACCACATGCAGTAGCCCCGTGCTGCCACATGCAGTAGCCTCGTGCTACCACATGCAGTAGCCTCGTGCTACCACATGCAGTAGCCCCGTGCTGCTACATGCAGTAGCCTCGTGCTACCACATGCAGTAGCCTCGTGCTACCACATGCAGTAGCCTCGTGCTGCTACATGCAGTAGCCTCGTGCTGCCACATGCAGTAGTCCCGTGCTGCTACATGCAGTAGCCCCGTGCTGCCACATGCAGTAGTCCCGTGCTGCCACATGCAGTAGCCCCGTGCTACCACATGCAGTAGCCTCGTGCTGCCACATGCAGTAGCCCCGTGCTGCCACATGCAGTAGCCTCGTGCTACCACATGCAGTAGCCCCGTGCTGCCACATACAGTAGCCTCGTGCTGCCACATGCAGTAGCCCCGAGCTACCACATGCAGTAGCCTCGTGCTACCACATGCAGTAGCCTCGTGCTACCACATGCAGTAGCCTCGTGCTACCACATGCAGTATAGCCTCGTGCTGCCACATGCAGTAGCCTCATGCTACCACATGCAGTAGCCTCGTGCTACCACATGCAGTAGCCTCGTGCTACCACATGCAGTATAGCCTCGTGCTGCCACATGCAGTAGCCTCATGCTACCACATGCAGTAGCCTCGTGCTACCACATGCAGTAGCCTCGTGCTGCCACATGCAGTAGCCTCGTGCTGCCACATGCAGTAGCCCCGTGCTGCCACATGCAGTAGCCCCGTGCTGCCACATGCAGTAGCCTCGTGCTACCACATGCAGTAGCCTCGTGCTGCCACATGCAGTAGCCTCGTGCTGCCACATGCAGTAGCCCCGTGCTACCACATGCAGTAGCCCCGTGCTGCCACATGCAGTAGCCCCGTGCTGCCACATGCAGTAGCCTCATGCTACCACATGCAGTAGCCCCATTAAAAACTTATATTTCTATTTTGCGAGTTATTCCTTTCGTATGTATTTTGTATGCAATAATTACTTGGTCACATCTGTCGAAGGAATTTGTGAAGCTTGTGTTAATTTGATCGACATTTTGCTTGTCTACCATGGCATCTAAGGCCATGTCATAGTGGTCTAGCAATTGTGAGAGGCCTTGGTGTTTTGTACTCCCCAAGTTGTGCGTGGGTTGAGCTCCGGCTCTTTGGTCCCGCCTCTCAACTGTCAATTAACTAGTGTGCAGATCTCGCATTCATGATGTGAGATGTTAGTGTTACTGGGCTGTATTTCTCTCTCTCTCTCTCCTGTACTTTATACAATTCTTGCTGTTTAAGTCCAGTAATTTCCTCCACACATCCTTCCTTGTCGTTCTCTGTGAGAGCGGGACGCTTGACCAATGCTACTATGCCTACTCTCTCATGGCACAGACTCAGCCCTGCATTACACAGCTGTTCTTCAAAAGTTGTTAATGCTAGTTCATACTTTATTAGTTCTCAGTTAATAGCTTTATTATTATAATTCAATTCTCCTCGTGAATTTGAGATTGGCTAATCAGGTCTTTTGTTCATGTTTGTCTAATTATCGTTTAGGTGATGATTATGAGAAAATCAGTAGTGGCCGTGATGAGGATTCGAACCTATGCGATGAGTCGTCCCACACACACGCCCTGGAGAACCAGACCACGCCATGGTTATCGACCATGTGGCGGCTTGGTTGTCTAGGGCGTGTGCCTGGGAACACCCACCACATAGGTTCGAATCCCCATCACTTCTACGGGTATTTTCACTGATGCAGTCTCGTTAGTGTGATTACTCTCTGTGTACGTTATGGTACGTTGCTCTTGTGTAAATATAGGCTGTGGTGACTTCTAGGCAGGTGAACCTCTTGATCCAACCCGTCCTCTTAAAAATAACGTAATTTTTCGCTGGTATGCGCGGCGCTATGGCCAAATTTGGACGTAATTTGAAATGAAATCGACTCACAAAAGTGACGTACTGTTCCGTTTTCTGTTTGAGTCGTCCGGCTTACTCGGCAAGCTTAGAAGAGGAAACTTTCCATTAACGTTTTTCACAACGTTTTGAAACTTTATGAGAATTTCCTGCTCACCTAACCTATCAGAGGACCCTTATCTTACTGTTGTTGAAAAAAAAAATCCCAAATTTATATTCATTTTTTTTTAATTTTCAAATTACGTCCGTATTCGGCAATACGGGTAAACGGTTAAAAGCGACGTTCTTTTTAACAGGACAGGTGTAAATCAATTACAATCTTTGAGTTAATTTAAGTAGTCTGTTTATCTTGGGAGGTCGTGGATATTTTGGGGAGCCGTGCAGCTGTCATGAAGGGTCTTGGGGAGCCGTGCAGCTGTCATGAAGGGTCTTGGGGAGCCGTGCAGATGTCATGAAGGGTCTTGGGGAGTTGTGCAGCTGTCATGAAGGGTCTTCGGGTGTTGTGCAGCTGTCATGAAAGGTCTTGGGGAGCCGTGCAGCTGTCATGAAGGGTCTTGGGGAGCCGTGCAGCTGTCATGAAGGGTCTTGGGGAGCCGTGCAGCTGTCATGAAGGGTCTTGGGGAGCCGTGCAGCTGTCATGAAGGGTCTTGGGGAGCCGTGCAGCTGTCATGAAGGGTCTTGGGGAGCCTTGCAGCTGTCATGAAGGGTCTTGGGGAGCCGTGCAGCTGTCATGAAGGGTCTTGGGGAGCCGTGCAGCTGTCATGAAGGGTCTTGGGGAGCCGTGCAGCTGTCATGAAGGGTCTTGGGGAGCCGTGCAGCTGTCATGAAGGGTCTTGGGGTGTTGTGCAGCTGTCATGAAGGGTCTTGGGGAGCCGTGCAGCTGTCATGAAGGGTCTTGGGGAGCCGTGCAGCTGTCATGAAGGGTCTTGGGGAGCCGTGCAGCTGTCATGAAGGGTCTTGGGGAGCCGTGCAGCTGTCATGAAGGGTCTTGGGGAGCCGTGCAGCTGTCATGAAGGGTCTTGGGGAGCCGTGCAGCTGTCATGAAGGGTCTTGGGGAGCCGTGCAGCTGTCATGAAGGGTCTTGGGGAGCCGTGCAGCTGTCATGAAGGGTCTTGGGGAACCGTGCAGCTGTCATGAGGTGTTGTGTAGCATCCAGTGAGAGAGTTAGTGTGTTGTTCAGCTGTTGGGGGAGGGACTTGGGAAATCCAGCAGCTGTGTTTAAGTAACAGTGAGAGTTATTCCGTTATCGTAGAAGGTCGTGACAGGTCGAACCACCACCTGAGGGGAGTCGTGAAGACTCACGCAGCTACCCTACACGGTCCCAAACAACGACAAGGCGTGGTCGTATGGTCGTACCTTGATCTTGGAGCCCGAGTCGCCCAGGACGAGCTGCTCAGCGATGTCGTCACAGAGCTCCGTGTCGACGTAGTCGTAGTAGACATCCGTGTCGCTCTCCCAGTGCCTGTGGACGACAACATCACGTAGTTCTTCACCCCATAACGTGAAGATGAGCCACTGAAGAACATTTTTAGAAGGCAGAAGAACCTTGCATCTCTGTCACCTACACCTTTGGTATCCTTTGGAGGTGCTTATCAAGAGAGAACTGGATAAGCACCTCCAAAGGATACCTGATCAACCAGGCTGTGTGACTCGTACGTCAGGCTGCGAGCAGCCGCGTCCAACAGCCTGGTTGATCAGTCCGGCAACCAGGAGGCCTGGTCGACGACCGGGCCGCGGGGACGCTAAGCCCCGGAAGCACCTCAAGGTAACCTCAAGGTAAGGTACACATTGTTGCTTCTACATGCAGCTTCGACAGGACAGGAAGCCCTGAGGGACACCATCTCTAGTGACCTCGACGGGGACAGGAAGCCGGTGGCTTGTCAGAGGTCCAGTGACAGCAGTCTGCGTTCCCAAGAGATAACGCTGTACTATAGATAGTGAAACGTTCTAAAATATCATGTTCTCACATACACTATCATCCTCAGAGGAATTTACAGCGTAAACAATAACAAATTATTCACCACGGATGGTACGCAAACAAGGGTACACAGGTTGAATCTGAGTACCTAAATGAGCCACAGAGACGTTATCAATAATGGTTTTCAGTGTCAGAGTAGTTAACAGGTGGAATGCATTAGGCAGTGATGTGGTGGAGGCTGACTCCATACACAGATATGATAGAGCCCAGTAGGCTCAGGAATCTGTACACCAGTTGATTGACAGTTTAGAGGCGGGACCAAAGAGCCAGAGCTCTTACCCCCGCAAGCACTACTAGGTGAGTACCCGACTCACCTTCTTTCACTATAACTACCACTTGACTTGCCTTACTCAGCCAAAACTTTCTGCTGACTCACATTGATTCTCATCTTTATCTGCTCTATGGTTGACTCACCTCCTACCTGGTCTATGGTTGACTCACCTTCTACCTGGTCTATGGTTGACTCACCTCCCACCTGCTCTATGGTTGACTCTCCTCCCACCTGCTCTATGGTTGACTCTCCTCCCACCTGCTCTATGGTTGACTCACCTCCCACCTGCTCTATGGTTGACGCACCTCCCACCTGCTCTATGGTTGACTCACCTCCTACCTGGTCTATGGTTGACTCACCTCCCACCTGCTCAACGCTTGACTCACCTCCCACCTGCTCTATGGTTGACGCACCTCCCACCTGCTCAACGCTTGACTCACCTCCCACCTGCTCTATGGTTGACTCACCTCCCACCTGCTCTACGCTTGACTCACCTCCCACCTGCTCTATGGTTGACTCACCTCCCACCTGCTCAACGCTTGACTCACCTCCCACCTGCTCTATGGTTGACTCACCTCCCACCTGCTCAACGCTTGACTCACCTCCCACCTGCTCTATGGTTGACTCACCTCCCACCTGCTCTATGGTTGACTCACCTCCCACCTGCTCTATGGTTGACTCACCTCTCAGCAGCATGAGTGACAACGCATCCTCCGATTAGACAGCACGTTTTAATGTATATAAATAAAAATGGAAATGTTGTTCGTACATAACCGCTAATCTCCGAAAGTTCTTCACCGATTGGTTTGAAATTTTCACACAACGTTCCATTCGCATCCGAGCGGATATGTATATACATACATATGTATACACAGGGGGCCTCGTAGCCTGGTGGATAGCGCGCAGGACTCGTAATTCTGTGGCGCGGGTTCGATTCCCGCACGAGGCAGAAACAAATGGGCAAAAGTTTCTTTCACCCTGAATGCCCCTGTTACCTAGCAGTAAATAGGTACCTGGGAGTTAGTCAGCTGTCCCGGGCTGCTTCCTGGGGGTGGAGGCCTGGTCGAGGACCGGGCCGCGGGGACACTAAAGCCCCGAAATCATCTCAAGATAACCTCAAGATATGTAGATGTCATGTATGTGACGGGGAAAAACATGATATTTTGAAACACTGTGTTTTTCATGTGAGGAAAATCTTCGAAACCTCTTTACCAATTGCTTTGAAATTTTGACACAACGTTGCATTCGAATAGGCGCGTGTTTTTATATACCTACTATATACCTGCCTCACCTGTGACAGGGAAAAAATGTTGTTGTTTTTTTAAACAGCGCCATCTGTTGGACGTAAGAGCAACACACGCTGTAATCTCCGAAAGTTCTTCACCTATTGCTTTGAAATTTTGACACAACGTTCCTGTTTGATTACACAATGTTTTTATATACCTACTACATATATGCCACACTTGTGACAAGTAAAAACATGCTTTAAAAAAAACAGTGCCATCTGTTGCACGTAATAGCAACACACACGCTATACTAACTATGTTACAATTCCATTTCAATGTTTCCGATTGCATTGCTAAATTAAATTTTCATAGATTACGATTTATTTCCATTTTGATTTAATTATTTTGTGTGACATTGTGTTGGAACTGAGCTGTGTTGTATACCGTAATGTTCATTCCATCAGTATAGTATATTTTTGTTAATTTTTAACTGTTTTTATTTCGTTTTTTAACTGTTTTTCTTATATTTCAGTGATGGGAACATCGGATCACTTGATATTCCCAATTCTCTGATGGGAACATCAGATCATTTGGGAAGGCATCAGACGAGGGAGTGGGGAATGGTGGGGAGGACGAGGGGACGGGAGTGGGGGATGGTGGGGAAGACGACGAGACAGGGGAGGGGGTTAATTGTGGGGAGGACTAAGGGACAGGGAATGGTGGGGAGGACGAGGGGACGGGGGAGGGTAGGGAGGACGAGGGGAATGGTGGGGAGGACGAGGGGACGGGGGAGGGTAGGGAGGACGAGGGGAAGGTAGGGAGGACGAGGGGACGGGGGAGGGTAGGGAGGACGAGGGGAAGGTAGGGAGGACGAGGGGACCGGGGAAGGTTGCTGTGGCTCAGCAGCGCATGTACTAAATGTATTAAGAACATTCCTTACTGTCTGCATAGTAAAAACTACACGTATTTGTGCCATTACCTCTCTATATATTCTCCTCATTTTCTTTTAAGACACTTAAAGTAATAGAATAAAGTTTCCAAATATATATATATATACAAAAGTTTTAAATATAAAAATATTATTTTTCAGTTTTATTAAACACTAGAGATTTTATACAAAATTTGAAAATATCCTGAGTTACTTTTTAATTAATTGAAAGATTTTTGTTTGGTTTTATTAGTTTTATAAAACTGTAATATTAATATAGCTATAAGTTAAATATTAATTGTAATTCAAAAGCAATAAAATGGTTGTTCTCCTATACTAAGAAGATTAGGTTAGGTCGTGGTTTTCTATATAGCTTTTTAGGTAAACTCTAATATTCACAATATTCTGGTGCAATTCTGGCGATTAAGTGGATTAATGTACTAAGCCGGTAGTCAGGATTGTACTTATTGCATTTCGATTTAATAGATTAGATTAGGTTTAATCGTTTAATTATAATTATAATAATTTTTAAATAATTTTAAATTAAATTTAAATAGTTTAATTAATTTAAATTAAGCAGAGCTACTACGCAAATTAAGCAGGGCTGGAGTGAAGGCACCAGCAGTTGTAAGAAATTTCCTCCCAACACAATTTCTGAACTACTAACCTCTCACGCAGCAATATAAAAATATTGTGTTTGGGGATAAAATCTATTAATATTATTATTTCTAGCGAAGGAACGCCAAAAGTTTTCTACTATCTATGGCTGCTATTGCGTCAGCCGAGAACAAATGCTTTATATGAATCTGATTAAACCTAATCTATACTCTGCTTAATTTGCGTAGTTGCTTAGATTGGAAATTGATTTAATTCATCTAAAACAAATTATACCTCCATCTCAAGGTGGAAATTTCCACATCCGTGATCTATCTTGAGGTTATCTTGACATGATTTCGGGGCTTTAGTGTCCCCGCGGCCCGGTCCTCGACCAGGCCTCCACCCCCAGGAAGCAGCCCGTGACAGCTGACTAACACCCAGGTACCTATTTACTGCTAGGTAACAGGATATGTGATCAGCTGATTCCCGGTCGGTATAAAAGTTACGTCACGTACACCACCTCTGTATATGTGTTTTGAACTACTAACACTTCGATCCAGTGATATGAACAGTGGAAAACTGCCCGCTGGCATCTGAGGTGTATTATTAAGATGTAAAACGACGTCGATATCATCTTGGTAGAGAACAGAACAAAATTGAATAACGTGACTTATTTCCCGGGTTTGCATCGAGAGAGGAGGAGGCGGGAGCGGGCACTCGCTCACCGAGACTCACAAGTGCTCCAGCGGATCCCTGTGGAAGCGAGTGAATTAGCATCGTGTTTTTTTTTTTTTTTTTTTTTTTTTGAGATATATACAAGTTGTTACATTCTTGTACAGCCGGTTGATTAGGGAGCCGGTCGGCCGAGCGGACAGCACACTGGACTTGAGATCCTGTGGTCCTGGGTTCGATCCCAGGCGCCGGCGAGAAACAATGGGCAGAGTTTCTTTCACCCTATGCCCCTGTTACCTAGCAGTAAAATAGATACCTGGGTGTTAGTCAGCTGTCACGGGCTGCTTCCTGGGGGTGGAGGCCTGGTCGAGGACCGGGCCGCGGGGACACTAAAAAGCCCCGAAATCATCTCAAGATATAACCAGCCACTAGTACGCGTAGCGTTTCGGGCAAGTCCTTAATCCTATGGTCCCTGGAATACGATCCCCTGCCGCGAAGAATCGTTGTTACAACCAAGTACACATTTTACTGTTGCGTTAAACAGAGGCTACAGTTAAGGAATTGCGCCCAGTAAATCCTCCCCGGCCAGGATACGAACCCATGACATAGCGCTCGCGGAACGCCAGGCGAGTGTCTTACCACTACACCACGGAGACTGCTCCGTGTTATGTTAGGATCCTCCATCTACTCACGACTCCCAGACGTTGCTGCAAGCTTCATATAGCAAGGGACATTGCCTTCAGTCGGTGGTTACTCTTAGATACGTTTTTAAGGTTATAATTACTGTTTAAAATAACCGACCGTTACGCCGCAAGACAAATACAGCATCTATCTTGAGGTTATCTTGAGATGATTTCGGGGCTTTAGTGTCCCCGCGGCCCGGTCCTCGACCAGGCCTCCACCCCCAGGAAGCAGCCCGTGACAGCTGACTAACTCCCAGGTACCTATTTACCGCTAGGTAACAGGGGCATTCAGGGTGAAAGAAACTTTGCCCATTTGTTTCTGCCTCGTGCGGGAATCGAACCCGCGCCACAGAATTACGAATCCTGCGCGCTATCCACCAGGCTACGAGGCCTCTAGCGTAAGTTTGCGCCCTTTAGGCTGTTAATCCCTTTTCTTGGAGATTAGCTGAAAATATATTAACCTTATCGGAATTACAGTGTACATTTTCTATAGCATGGAGAGATACAACCAGGAACCAGCAGCCTCAACTTGTGATTCACGTGTTCGCAACGCGTCCTCCAAAGGATACCTGATCAACCAGGCTGTGACTCGTACGTCAGGCTGCGAGCAGCCGCGTCCAACAGCCTGGTTGATCAGTCCGGCAACCAGGAGGCCTGGTCGACGACCGGGCCGCGGGGACGCTAAGCCCCGGAAGCACCTCAAGGTAACCTCAAGGCAACGCTACCATGATGAGGCTAGGAACCTGACTGACTTCCGCAGGATTGTCAGACTTACTCCTACTAATCGTCTAGACAACTAAGCCATTTAAATCAAATTTATGATAATTGTAGTTAGTTTACTAACCCCATAACATATTATTTACTCATACATATTTACCAAAACGCTTGTGCTCTCTAGAGTGGAGTACTGCTGCACAATGACAGCCCCTTTCAAAGCTGGAGAAATTGCTGACCTGGAGAGCGTGCAGAGATCCTTTACTGCTAGAATCCACTCAGTAAAACATCTAAACTATTGGGACCGACTAAAATGCCTAAATCTGTACTCCCTTGAGCGCAGGCGGGAGAGATACATAATAATTTACACGTGGAAAATATTAGAGGGGCTGGTCCCAAACCTGCACACAGAAATAACATTACATGAGACCAGAAGACATGGCAGGATGTGCAGAATACCCCCGTTGAAAAGCAGAGGTGCAACAGGTACTCTGAGAGAGAACTATCAACATCAGAGGCCCGAGACTGTTCAACACGCTTCCACTACACATAACCCTCACAGTGTTCAAGAGAGAACTATCAACATCAGAGGCCCGAGACTGTTCAACACGCTTCCACTACACATAAGGGGCATAACTGGCCGACCCCTCACACTGTTCAGAGAGAACTATCAACATCAGAGGCCCGAGACTGTTCAACACGCTTCCACTACACATAAGGGGCATAACTGGCCGACCCCTCACACTGTTCAAGAGAGAACTATCAACATCAGAGGCCCGAGACTGTTCAACACGCTTCCACTACACATAAGGGGCATAATTGGCCGACCCCTCACAGTGTTCAAGAGAGAACTATCAACATCAGAGGTCCGAGACTGTTCAACACGCTTCCGCTACACATAAGGGGCATAACTGGCCGACCCCTCACACTGTTCAGAGAGAACTATCAACATCAGAGGCCCGAGACTGTTCAACACGCTTCCACTACACATAAGGGGCATAACTGGCCGACCCCTCACAGTGTTCAAGAGAGAACTATCAACATCAGAGGTCCCTACACATAAGGGGCATAACTGGCCGACCCCTCACAGAGTTCAAGAGAGAACTATCAACATCAGAGGCCCGAGACTGTTCAACACGCTTCCACTACACATAAGGGGCATAACTGGCAATCCCCTCACAGTGTTCAAGAGAGAACTGGATAAGCACCTCCAAAGGATACCTGATTAACCAGGCTGTGACTCATACGTCAGGCTGTGAGCAGCCGCGTCCAACAGCCTGGTTGATCAGTCCAGCAACCAGGAGGCCTGGTCGACGACCGGGCCGCGGGGGCGCTAAGCCCCGGAAGCACCTCAAGGGAACCTCATGGTAAGGTAACCATTGAATTTATTAAATTATATTTAAGTTACTATGTAGATTTAGCATTGTAAAGTCTACCCCCGAATTTTGTGGAAGTGGAACTGCTTGAGAAGTATCCAAACATTAATACAGTCCGCTCATACAGTACATTTATTCATCAGTACATTTATTCATCAGTACATTTATTCATCTAATAATACTAAGAAACATTTGTTGCGAAATTCCCCACAGGTGTGACTCACCTCTCAGCAGTGTGAGTGAAGGCACCAGCAGGTGTGACTCACCTCTCAGCAGTGTGAGTGAAGGCACCAGCAGGTGTGACTCACCTCTCAGCAGTGTGAGTGAAGGCACCAGCAGGTGTGACTCACCTCTCAGCAGTGTGAGCGAAGGCACCAGCAGGTGTGACTCACCTCTCAGCAGTGTGAGTGACGGCACCAGCAGGAGTGACTCACCTCTCAGCAGTGTGAGTGAAGGCACCAGCAGGTGTGACTCACCTCTCAGCAGTGTGAGTGAAGGCACCAGCGGGTGTGACTCACCTCTCAGCAGTGTGAGTGAAGGCACCAGCAGGTGTGACTCACCTCTCAGCAGTGTGAGTGAAGGCACCAGCAGGTGTGACTCACCTCTCAGCAGTGTGAGTGAAGGCACCAGCGGGAGTGACTCACCTCTCAGCAGTGTGAGTGAAGGCACCAGCAGGTGTGACTCACCTCTCAGCAGTGTGAGTGAAGGCACCAGCGGGTGTGACTCACCTCTCAGCAGTGTGAGTGAAGGCACCAGCGGGTGTGACTCACCTCTCAGCAGTGTGAGTGAAGGCACCAGCAGGCGTGACTCACCTCTCAGCAGTGTGAGTGACTCACCTCTCAGCAGTGTGAGTGAAGGCACCAGCAGGAGTGACTCACCTCTCAGCAGTGTGAGTGAAGGCACCAGCAGGTGTGACTCACCTCTCAGCAGTGTGAGTGAAGGCACCAGCGGGTGTGACTCACCTCTCAGCAGTGTGAGCGAAGGCACCAGCAGGAGTGACTCATCTCTCAGCAGTGTGAGTGAAGGCACCAGCAGGTGTGACTCACCTCTCAGCAATGTGAGCGAAGGCACCAGCGGGTGTGACTCACCTCTCAGCAGTGTGAGCGAAGGCACCAGCAGGGGAGGCGTGAGTGACCCTGGTGACGGTCACGATGCCTGTAGAGCGCCCAGCATCCTGAAGCACAAGAGTATTGGTGAGAATCTTGCTGGTGACTTATTATTATTAACATCTTTATTGACAAAATTAATTACAATTTTGCCTAATCTGAGGATTTTGATAGTCTTATTAAAGTGAGGATAATGCTGGCATTCACTCTCACGCAGGACAGAGAGTCATACACAAGACAATAGGTCTAAACTGTAGGCTGAAGCACATATATATCATGGTTACAATCAATGTTTTAATGTATGGATATGTGAAAACAACTTTCTACTGTGCACTGCCACACAAGGGCAGGGATGGGTTCATAAGTGATACAGCTTAAAAATAATATAAAATTGTTCTTCATTCTTTAAAATGGACAAGCAAATTTTGGGTAAATTGTTAGGATGTCGTCCAGAACACCTGAGTCAATGACATAGTTACACAGTTGGTGGTACAAGAGGCCAGGAGGTCTAAAGTCCTTTACGGTTTCACATTCATCAATATAGTGTTCTAGTGAATGCATTAAAGGTTTATCACAGAGTTTACAATGCTGGTGACTGGTGGTGGTGACTGTGGTGGTGGTGACTGTGGAGGTGGTGACTGTGGTTGTGGTGACTGTGGTGGTGGTGACTGTGGTGGTGGTGACTGGTGGTGGTGGTGACTGTGGTGGTGGTGACTGTGGTGGTGGTGACTGTGGTGGTGGTGACTGTGGTGGTGGTGACTGGTGGTGGTGGTGACTGGTGGTGGTGGTGACTGTGGTGGTGGTGACTGTGGTGGTGGTGACTGGTGGTGGTGGTGACTGTGGTGGTGGTGACTGGTGGTGCTGGTGACTGTGGTGGTGGTGACTGTGGTGGTGGTGACTGTGGTTGTGGTGACTGTGGTTGTGGTGACTGGTGGTGGTGGTGACTGTGGTGGTGGTGACTGTGGTTGTGGTGACTGTGGTGGTGGTGACTGGTGGTGGTGGTGACTGTGGTGGTGGTGACTGTGGTGGTGGTGACTGTGGTGGTGGTGACTGGTGGTGGTGACTGTGGTGGTGGTGACTGTGGTGGTGGTGACTGTGGTGGTGGTGACTGGTGGTGGTGGTGACTGTGGTGGTGGTGACTGTGGTGGTGGTGACTGTGGTGGTGGTGACTGTGGTGGTGGTGACTGTGGTGGTGGTGACTGTGGTGGTGGTGGTGACTGTGGTGGTGGTGACTGTGGTGGTGGTGACTGTGGTGGTGGTGACTGTGGTGGTGGTGACTGTGGTGGTGGTGACTGTGGTGGTGGTGACTGTGGTGGTGGTGGTGACTGTGGTGGTGGTGACTGTGGTGGTGGTGACTGTGGTGGTGGTGACTGTGGTGGTGGTGGTGGTGACTGGTGACTGTGGTGGTGATGACTGTGGTGGTGGTGACTGTGGTGGTGATGACTGTGGTGGTGGTGGTGATGACTGTGGTGGTGGTGGTGATGACTGTGGTGGTGGTGGTGGTGATGACTGTGGTGTGGTGGTGGTGACTGTGATGGTGGCGGTGACTGTGGTGGTGGTGACTGTGGTGGTGGTGACTGTGGTGGTGGTGGTGGTGGCGGTGACTGTGGTGGCGGTGACTGTGGTGGTGGTGGCTGTGGTGGTGGTGACTGTGGTGGTGACTGTGGTGGTGGTGACTGTGGTGGTGGTGACTGTGGTGGTGGTGACTGTGGTGGTGGTGACTGTGGTGGTGACTGTGGTGGTGACTGTGGTGGTGGTGACTGTGGTGGTGGTGACTGTGGTGGTGGTGACTGTGGTGGTGGTGACTGTGGTGGTGGTGACTGTGGTGGTGGTGACTGTGGTGGTGGTGACTGTGGTGGTGGTGACTGTGGTGGTGGTGACTGTGGTGGTGGTGACTGTGGTGGTGGTGGTGGTGACTGTGGTGGTGGTGACTGTGGTGGTGGTGACTGTGGTGGTGGTGACTGTGGTGGTGGTGACTGTGGTGGTGGTGACTGTGGTGGTGGTGACTGTGGTGGTGGTGACTGTGGTGGTGGTGACTGTGGTGGTGGTGACTGTGGTGGTGGTGACTGTGGTGGTGGTGACTGTGGTGGTGGTGACTGTGGTGGTGGTGACTGTGGTGGTCGTGACTGTGGTGGTGGTGACTGTGGTGGTGGTGACTGTGGTGGTGGTGACTGTGGTGGTGGTGACTGTGGTGGTGGTGACTGTGGTGGTGGTGACTGTGGTGGTGGTGACTGGTGGTGCTGGTGACTGTGGTGGTGGTGACTGTGGTGGTGGTGACTGGTGGTGCTGGTGACTGTGGTGGTGGTGACTGTGGTGGTGGTGACTGTGGTGGTGGTGACTGTGGTGGTGTGGTGACTGTGGTGGTGGTGACTGTGGTGGTGGTGGTGGTGGTGACTGTGGTGGTGGTGGTGGTGACTGTGGTGGTGGTGACTGTGGTGGTGGTGACTGTGGTGGTGGTGACTGTGGTGGTGGTGACTGGTGGTGGTGGTGACTGTGGTGGTGGTGACTGTGGTGGTGGTGACTGTGGTGGTGGTGACTGTGGTGGTGGTGACTGTGGTGGTGGTGACTGGTGGTGCTGGTGACTGTGGTGGTGGTGACTGTGGTGGTGGTGACTGTGGTGGTGGTGACTGTGGTGGTGGTGGCTTGGGTGTGTTGCACATTAAATCAACAATAAATTGTTCTCTGAACACAATTAATTATTAGTGTAAACAAAGGAGTCGTACTCCGCAGCAAACATCGTCCACAGAACTGAATGTGACGACGAAATTGACGTCGTACACAGAGTGGAATGTGGATTAGGATAGTAATCCATAATTTAGTAGTTATTTATTATTTATTTATACAAGAATTGTTACATTCTTGTACAGCCACTAGCATGTATAGCGTTTCCGGCAAGTCCTTAATCCTATGTTCCCGGAATACGACCCGCCAAATCGTTTAACAACTAGGTAACCATTCACTGCCGGGTGAACATAGGCTACAGTTAAGGACACCAGTATTGGATTGGCCTAGTCAATCCTCCCCGGCCAGGATACAAACCCAGCCCAAAGCGTTCGCGAAGCGCCGGGCGAGTGTTTAACCACTGCGCCACTCATGTGTAGTTTGGCATCTTTTAATTTATTATTAAAGTTGTCACAGTTACTGTACTGTGGTCTTTGACCAAGCCCTTCTGACATGATTACTCCTAGGCCTTTTAAACTGATTTTTCTTGTTTTAGTTTGATTTGACTACGTGTGATGTGTAGTTCCTGTGTTGATTACTTTATTTCTGTCAAAGTGCAGAAGCTGGAAAATCTGTTCATTGATCATCATGCTGTTGTGGCTCATTGAAAGACCTGATTCACATAAGTTTTGAAATTTGTTGAATCCTCCATAGTTTTGACTTAAATATAAAGCCTAATGTAACCTGTAGAGGATGATATAGCAGTATAGTTTTTATTGTTGTCTATGTCTGATAAGAGAGTGAAAAAGAGTAATGGAGAAGGTAGAGTACGATTCCCGGGCGCCCCCTCCATTAGGGGGGTAGAAATAGCCTAAGCTACTCTATCCCTTTGAGATGTATTTTTTCTCAATAAACATACTTGAACTTGAACTTGGTAGAGTACGTTGGGAACTGATCTTTCAACAGTTTATTACTCTGGGAAATAAAAATCATCTTCCCAATTCTCCAGTTATTTTGTGTGTGTGGAATAACTCCGTAGTCTCTTGTTGAAAGCTTGTACGAAGACATAGCAATCTCTACATATTTTTACATTATAATTACCAGAATTAAGCTGGGATATCATCAGTATCTATGGCAGGTGGCTGCAAGTAATGAATACCCCAATGGTGAACATTCCTATAGTAAACTATGAACAATAGCTGGGACACACTCTCCAACACTATATCGGTGATTGCTCTGTTATCAGTGACTTCAGACCACATGGTATGAAGTACCTTGAACTTTGTTATTACTTCATACACTCAGGAATATTGGAAGATATTCTTGTGCTGTACCCAGAGTGTACTAGAGTAGGCTAGAATCACATCTCATACAATACACACAGAAATTACAATAGCGTGATACATCAGAAGAACAAATCTACAAGGTTGTTGTTGTTGTTAAAGATTCGCTACTTGGAACAAGCAGTTCCAAGTAGCACGGGCTATGGTGAGCCCGTAGGTACTTACACACACATTGGCCGTGATGAGGGTTCGAACCACTTGTTAATTACATCTCGTATTTTCTTATGATTCCATGTATGACTAACCATCATGTGAGATGGGAATATAGATGAACTCACAGCTAGTTCTTGACCTATACTCTGTAATCCAGCAGCTCGTCCTCCTAAGGGTTTCCCCAACGTCAAGAAAACGGTGAATTTAAAGTGATCTCTCCTAACCTACCAGAGAACCCAAAACAGAAAACGGGTTAATTCGTCACTTTCGCAAGCCACTTCCATTTTCTAGTACAACAATTGTTTACCTTATGTGACGCATACGAGTGAAAAGCGACGTTCTTTGTAGGAGGAGAGGTTGAGTCCTTCATATAGAGTAGGGTTGCTGCTCAAGTACTGCAGCGTGTTGACACAAACACTTGACTGCTTCAGTGTGGAGTGACGCGTTCTCCAGAGTATTAGGTATATGTGGGATGACATCAGTGTCTAGGCCTCCCTCTCCCTCCCTTATACTGAAGACTCCTGCCTCCCTTATACTGAAGACTCCTGCCTCCCTCCCTTATACTGAAGACTCCTGCCTCCCTCCCTTATACTGAAGACTCCCGCCTCCCTCCCTTATACTGAAGACTCCCGGCTCCCTCCCTTATACTGAAGACTCCCGCCTCCCTCCCTTATAATGAAGACTCCCGCCTCCCTCCCTTATACTGAAGACTCCTGCCTCCCTCCCTTATACTGAAGACTCTCGCCTTCCTTATACTCAAGACTCCCGCATTCCTTATACTGAAGACTCCCGCCTTCCTTATACTGAAGACTCCCGCCTTCCTAATACTGAAGACTCCCGCCTTCCTTATACTGAAGACTCCCGCCTCCCTCCCTTATACTGAAGACTCCCGCCTTCCTTATACTGAAGACTCCCGCCTCCCTCCCTTATACTGAAGACTCCCGCCTTCCTTATACTCAAGACTCGCCTCCCTCCCTTATACTGAAGACTCCCGCCTCCCTTATACTGAAGACTCCCGCCTCCCTCCCTTATACTGAAGACTCCCGCCTCCCTCCCTTATACTGAAGACTCCCGCCTCCCTTATACTGAAGACTCCCGCCTTCCTTATACTGAAGACTCCCGCCTTCCTTATACTGAAGACTCCCGCCTTCCTTATACTGAAGACTCCCGCCTCCCTTATACTGAAGACTCCTGCCTCCCTTCCTTATACTGAAGACTCCCGCCTTCCTTATACTGAAGACTCCCGCCTTCCTTATACTGAAGACTCCCGCCTTCCTTATACTGAAGACTCCCGCCTTCCTTATACTGAAGACTCCCGCCTCCCTTATACTGAAGACTCCTGCCTCCCTTCCTTATACTGAAGACTCCCGCCTCCCTTATACTGAAGACTCCTGCCTCCCTTATACTGAAGACTCCCGCCTCCCTCCCTTATACTGAAGACTCCCGCCTTCCTTATACTGAAGACTCCCGCCTTCCTTATACTGAAGACTCCCGCCTTCCTTATACTGAAGACTCCCGCCTTCCTTATACTGAAGACTCCCGCCTTCCTTATACTGAAGACTCCCGCCTTCCTTATACTGAAGACTCCCGCCTCCCTTATACTGAAGACTCCTGCCTCCCTTCCTTATACTGAAGACTCCCGCCTCCCTTATACTGAAGACTCCTGCCTCCCTTATACTGAAGACTCCCGCCTCCCTCCCTTATACTGAAGACTCCCGCCTTCCTTATACTGAAGACTCCCGCCTTCCTTATACTGAAGACTCCCGCCTTCCTTATACTGAAGACTCCCGCCTTCCTTATACTGAAGACTCCCGCCTCCCTTATACTGAAGACTCCTGCCTCCCTTCCTTATACTGAAGACTCCCGCCTTCCTTATACTGAAGACTCCCGCCTCCCTTATACTGAAGACTCCCGCCTTCCTTATACTGAAGACTCCCGCCTCCCTTATACTGAAGACTCCTGCCTCCCTTATACTGAAGACTCCCGCCTTCCTTATACTGAAGACTCCCGCCTCCCTTATACTGAAGACTCCTCCCTTCCTTATACTGAAGACTCCCGCCTCCCTTATACTGAAGACTCCTGCCTCCCTTATACTGAAGACTCCCGCCTCCCTTATACTGAAGACTCCTGCCTCCCTTCCTTATACTGAAGACTCCCGCCTTCCTTATACTGAAGACTCCCGCCTCCCATATACTGAAGACTCCCGCCTTCCTTATACTGAAGACTCCCGCCTCCCTTATACTGAAGACTCCTGCCTCCCTTATACTGAAGACTCCCGCCTTCCTTATACTGAAGACTCCCACCTCCCTTATACTGAAGACTCCTGCCTCCCTTATACTGAAGACTCCCGCCTCCCTCCCTTATACTGAAGACTCCCGCCTTCCTTATACTGAAGACTCCCGCCTTCCTTATACTGAAGACTCCCGCCTTCCTTATACTGAAGACTCCCGCCTTCCTTATACTGAAGACTCCCGCCTCCCTTATACTGAAGACTCCTGCCTCCCTTCCTTATACTGAAGACTCCCGCCTTCCTTATACTGAAGACTCCCGCCTCCCTTATACTGAAGACTCCCGCCTTCCTTATACTGAAGACTCCCGCCTCCCTTATACTGAAGACTCCTGCCTCCCTTATACTGAAGACTCCCGCCTTCCTTATACTGAAGACTCCCGCCTCCCTTATACTGAAGACTCCTGCCTCCCTTATACTGAAGACTCCCGCCTCCCTCCCTTATACTGAAGACTCCCGCCTTCCTTATACTGAAGACTCCTGCCTCCCTTATACTGAAGACTCCTGCCTCCCTTATACTGAAGACTCCTGCCTCCCTTCCTTATACTGAAGACTCCCGCCTCCCTTATACTGAAGACTCCTGCCTCCCTTATACTGAAGACTCCCGCCTCCCTCCCTTATACTGAAGACTCCCGCCTTCCTTATACTGAAGACTCCCGCCTTCCTTATACTCAAGACTCTCGCCTCCCTTATACTGAAGACTTCCGCCTCCCTTATACTCAAGACTCCCGCCTCCCTTATACTGAAGACTCCTGCCTCCCTTCCTTATACTGAAGACTCCCGCCTTCCTTATACTGAAGACTCCCACCTCCCTTATACTGAAGACTCCTGCCTCCCTTATACTGAAGACTCCCGCCTCCCTCCCTTATACTGAAGACTCCCGCCTTCCTTATACTGAAGACTCCCGCCTTCCTTATACTGAAGACTCCCGCCTTCCTTATACTGAAGACTCCCGCCTTCCTTATACTGAAGACTCCCGCCTTCCTTATACTGAAGACTCCCGCCTCCCTTATACTGAAGACTCCTGCCTCCCTTCCTTATACTGAAGACTCCTGCCTTCCTTATACTGAAGACTCCCGCCTCCCTTATACTGAAGACTCCCGCCTTCCTTATACTGAAGACTCCCGCCTCCCTTATACTGATGACTCCTGCCTCCCTTATACTGAAGACTCCCGCCTTCCTTATACTGAAGACTCCCGCCTCCCTTATACTGAAGACTCCTGCCTCCCTTATACTGAAGACTCCCGCCTCCCTCCCTTATACTGAAGACTCCCGCCTTCCTTATACTGAAGACTCCTGCCTCCCTTATACTGAAGACTCCTGCCTCCCTTATACTGAAGACTCCTGCCTCCCTTCCTTATACTGAAGACTCCCGCCTCCCTTATACTGAAGACTCCTGCCTCCCTTATACTGAAGACTCCCGCCTCCCTCCCTTATACTGAAGACTCCCGCCTTCCTTATACTGAAGACTCCCGCCTTCCTTATACTCAAGACTCTCGCCTCCCTTATACTGAAGACTTCCGCCTCCCTTATACTCAAGACTCCCGCCTCCCTTATACTGAAGACTCCTGCCTCCCTTCCTTATACTGAAGACTCCTGCCTCCCTCCCTTATACTGAAGACTCCCGCCTCCCTTATACTGAAGACTCCTGCCTCCCTTATACTGAAGACTCCCGCCTCCCTCCCTTATACTGAAGACTCCCGCCTTCCTTATACTGAAGACTCCCGCCTTCCTTATACTCAAGACTCTCGCCTCCCTTATACTGAAGACTTCCGCCTCCCTTATACTCAAGACTCCCGCCTCCCTTATACTGAAGACTCCTGCCTCCCTTCCTTATACTGAAGACTCCTGCCTCCCTCCCTTATACTGAAGACTCCCGCCTCCCTTATACTGAAGACTCCTGCCTCCCTTATACTGAAGACTCCCGCCTCCCTCCCTTATACTGAAGACTCCCGCCTTCCTTATACTGAAGACTCCCGCCTTCCTTATACTCAAGACTCTCGCCTCCCTTATCCTCAAGACTCCCGCCTCCCTTATACTGAAGACTCCTGCCTCCCTTATATTGAAGACTCCTGCCTCCCTCCCTTATACTCAAGACTCCCGCCCTCCTTATACTGAAGACTCTCGCCTTCCTTATCCTCAAGACTCCCGACCCCAGCTCCGCCATACCTGGAAATCTTCGAGGATTGAGCGTGTGTGGAAGTCTTGTACATTCATAGCGTCGCAGTCACCCAGCAGAACGTTGGCGTCGACGCCGATGATCTCCTGATTGGTCTTTACGCCGCTCAGATAGGCTGTGGCGCTGGCCGCAGAGTCCGTCACCACTTTGTCTGCGCTGTAAGTCTGCCCAGGAGGCAAGAAATTAGTTCTGATCAGTCAGCCAATCAGCAAGCTAATCGCTCAGTTAACTAGGCATATATGACATTTTTGTACACTTCAACACGGCCTTCTGTGTTAAGACGAGGAGAGATAACTGTCTCCAGCACCGCTTAGAGACCAACTACATCCTGCTAACAGTGTAGTTACCTTGATGAGGGCAGAGTAACAGTGTAGTTACCTTGATGAGGGCAGAGTAACAGTGTAGTTACCTTGATGAGAGCAGAGTAACAGTGTAGTTACCTTGATGAGGGCAGAGTAACAGTGTAGTTACCTTGATGAGAGCAGAGTAAGGGAACTTCTCATAAGCCATGACCTCGTGCTCGAAGTTGCCAGATCGCTGGCCCTTGAGGAGCCTAGCGGCCGTCAGGGTGGAGATCGAGGTCCCGTCGCCCAGGAAGAGGATCACGTTCTTCGCCTGGCGAACGATCGGCTCCTTCTCCAGCTGTGCCTGAAGCTCCGCCTGCATCTGCTGTTTCCAGTAGGCGCTGTCTGCAAGGTGAGGAATGTTAGCTCCTGCCTTACAGGGTCTGGAGAGTGTCTGGAAGGTGAGGAATGTTAGCTCCTGCCTTACAGGGTCTGGAGAGTGTCTGGATGGTGAGGAATGTTAGCTCCTGCCTTACAGGGTCTGGAGAGTGTCTGCAAGGTGAGGAATGTTAGCTCCTGCCTTACAGGGTGTGGAGAGTGTCTGGAAGGTGAGGAATGTTAGCTCCTGCCTTACAGGGTCTGGAGAGTGTCTGCAAGGTCAGGAATGTTAGCTCCTGCCTTACAGGGTCTGGAGAGTGTCTGGAAGGTGAGGAATGTTAGCTCCTGCCTTACAGGGTCTGGAGAGTGTCTGCAAGGTGAGGAATGTTAGCTCCTGCCTTACAGGGTCTGGAGAGTGTCTGCAAGGTGAGGAATGTTAGCTCCTGCCTTACAGGGTGTGGAGAGTGTCTGGAAGGTGAGGAATGTTAGCTCCTGCCTTACAGGGTCTGGAGAGTGTCTGGAAGGTGAGGAATGTTAGCTCCTGCCTTACAGGGTCTGGAGAGTGTCTGGAAGGTGAGGAATGTTAGCTCCTGCCTTACAGGGTCTGGAGAGTGTCTGCAAGGTGAGGAATGTTAGCTCCTGCCTTACAGGGTGTGGAGAGTGTCTGCAAGGTGAGGAATGTTAGCTCCTGCCTTATAGGGTGTGGAGAGTGTCTGCAAGGTCAGGAATGTTAGCTCCTGCCTTACAGGGTGTGGAGAGTGTCTGCAAGGTGAGGAATGTTAGCTCCTGCCTTACAGGGTGTGGAGAGTGTCTGCAAGGTGAGGAATGTTAGCTCCTGCCTTACAGGGTGTGGAGAGTGTCTGCAAGGTGAGGAATGTTAGCTCCTGCCTTACAGGGTCTGGAGAGTGTCTGGAAGGTGAGGAATGTTAGCTCCTGCCTTACAGGGTCTGGAGAGTGTCTGCAAGGTGAGGAATGTTAGCTCCTGCCTTACAGGGTCTGGAGAGTGTCTGGAAGGTGAGGAATGTTAGCTCCTGCCTTACAGGGTCTGGAGAGTGTCTGCAAGGTGAGGAATGTTAGCTCCTGCCTTACAGGGTCTGGAGAGTGTCTGGAAGGTGAGGAATGTTAGCTCCTGCCTTACAGGGTCTGGAGAGTGTCTGCAAGGTGAGGAATGTTAGCTCCTGCCTTACAGGGTGTGGAGAGTGTCTGCAAGGTGAGGAATGTTAGCTCCTGCCTTATAGGGTGTGGAGAGTGTCTGCAAGGTGAGGAATGTTAGCTCCTGCCTTACAGGGTCTGGAGAGTGTCTGCAAGGTCAGGAATGTTAGCTCCTGCCTTACAGGGTGTGGAGAGTGTCTGCAAGGTGAGGAATGTTAGCTCCTGCCTTATAGGGTGTGGAGAGTGTCTGCAAGGTGAGGAATGTTAGCTCCTGCCTTATAGGGTCTGGAGAGTGTCTGCAAGGTCAGGAATGTTAGCTCCTGCCTTACAGGGTGTGGAGAGTGTCTGCAAGGTCAGGAATGTTAGCTCCTGCCTTATAGGGTGTGGAGAGTGTCTGCAAGGTCAGGAATGTTAGCTCCTGCCTTACAGGGTGTGGAGAGTGTCTGCAAGGTCAGGAATGTTAGCTCCTGCCTTACAGGGTGTGGAGAGTGTCTGCAAGGTGAGGAATGTTAGCTCCTGCCTTATAGGGTGTGGAGAGTGTCTGCAAGGTGAGGAATGTTAGCTCCTGCCTTATAGGGTGTGGAGAGTGTCTGCAAGGTGAGGAATGTTAGCTCCTGCCTTACAGGGTCTGGAGAGTGTCTGCAAGGTCAGGAATGTTAGCTCCTGCCTTACAGGGTGTGAAGAGTGTCTGCAAGGTGAGGAATGTTAGCTCCTGCCTTATAGGGTGTGGAGAGTGTCTGCAAGGTGAGGAATGTTAGCTCCTGCCTTACAGGGTCTGGAGAGTGTCTGCAAGGTGAGGAATGTTGGCTCCTGCCTTACAGGGTCTGGAGAGTGTCTGCAAGGTGAGGAATGTTAGCTCCTGCCTTACAGGGTGTGGAGAGTGTCTGCAAGGTCAGGAATGTTAGCTCCTGCCTTACAGGGTCTGGAGAGTGAACTCTTCTGACTTCCGCTCTTTTCTGTACTTTTCTATACTATTTCTTTTGAGGGTTATCAAGGGGAAACTCTAATAAACCCCTGATTCCTGTTGGACCCGTCTACTGTCGTGTTTAATATGAACGAAACTCTTGATGTAATAAAGTTGTCCATTAATATCGCCCTGACTTTTGAATCTGTGTTTTGCTTCTCATTGTCGGAGACATGAAGCCCGTTAGGATTACCGAGGTTCTCGTAGGCTTACAACTAAGGCTTCAGGTGCAAGTATGCCTAAACGTCTCCTCCTGCATAGAAATCGATCCCGTCCCACTCCCGACCCACTCGCAGTCGGTTGTGAAGCGACTGCTCAGACCACTGCGCTATGTGTCGCCTTGTTAGTTACTGAGATGGATACCTGATCAACCAGGCTGTGACTCATACGTCAGGCTGCGAGCAGCCGCGTCCAAGAGCCTGGTTGATCAGTCCAGCAACCAGGAGGCCTGGTCGACGACCGGGCCGCGGAGACGCTAAGCCCCGGAAGCACCTCAAGGTAACCTCAAGGTCAAGGTAACCAAGGTTGTTCCCTCATGCTGTACGTAAGGCCGCAACAACCCAGTGGAACAAGCGTGCAGGTTGGCACAAAGGTCAACGCCTTTACTGTGAACGCGTCTAGTTGTAGAGGACTCCACACTACTCCAATGTGCACAGATTAGTAAAGAAAATAGATAATAGGTTGTCTACTTGTCATTACATATTTTGCAAATTTAAATTATGAAACCCATTACTACTGCCTCTAATTGGACCCCATTGCCAGTACTAATGGTCACTATTGCCTCCTGTTGGACCCCATTCCCAGTACTAATGGTCATTATTGCCTCCTGTTGGACCCCATTCCCAGTACTAATGGTCATTATTGCCTCCTGTTGGACCCCATTTCCAGTACTAATGGTCACTATTGCGTCCTGTTGGACCCCATTCCCAGTACTAATGGTCATTATTGCCTCCTGTTGGACCCCATTTCCAGTACTAATGGTCATTATTGCCTCCTGTTGGACCCCATTCCCAGTACTAATGGTCACTATTGCGTCCTGTTGGACCCCATTCCCAGTACTTAGGGTCACTATTGCCTCCTGTTGGACCCCATTCTCAGTACTTAGGGTCACTATTGCCTCCTGTTGGACCCCATTTCCAGTACCAATGGTCACTATTGCGTCCTGTTGGACCCCATTTCCAGTACTTAGGGTCACTATTGCCTCCTGTTGGACCCCATTTCCACTACTAATGGTCACTATTGCGTCCTGTTGGACCCCGTTCCCAGTACTTAGGGTCACTATTGCCTCCTGTTGGACCCCATTCTCAGTACTTAGGGTCACTATTGCCTCCTGTTGGACCCCATTTCCAGTACTAATGGTCCCTATTGCGTCCTGTTGGACCCCATTCCCAGTACTAATGGTCCCTATTGCGTCCTGTTGGACCCCATTCCCAGTACTTAGGGTCACTATTGCCTCCTGTTGGACCCCATTCCCAGTACTTAGGGTCACTATTGCGTCCTGTTGGACCCCATTCCCAGTACTAATGGTCCCTATTGCGTCCTGTTGGACCCCATTCCCAGTACTTATGGTCACTATTGCGTCCTGTTGGACCCCATTCCCAGTACTTAGGGTCACTATTGCCTCCTGTTGGACCCCATTCCCAGTACTTAGGGTCACTATTGCGTCCTGTTGGACCCCATTCCCAGTACTAATGGTCACTATTGCCTCCTGTTGGACCCCATTCCCAGTACTTAGGGTCACTATTGCCTCCTGTTGGACCCCATTCCCAGTACTTAGGGTCACTATTGCGTCCTGTTGGACCCCATTCCCAGTACTAATGGTCACTATTGCCTCCTGTTGGACCCCATTCCCAGTACTTAGGGTCACTATTGCCTCCTGTTGGACCCCATTCCCAGTACTTAGGGTCACTATTGCGTCCTGTTGGACCCCATTCCCAGTACTAATGGTCACTATTGCCTCCTGTTGGACCCCATTCCCAGTACTTAGGGTCACTATTGCCTCCTGTACAACCATAAACAAACAGTTCCGGTTGACTTACCTTCGACAACTCCTCTGGGGATGGGCTTGTGTTGACCTCGACCCGTGACCCCCAGATGGTCTTGACCAGGATCTGAGTGGTGAAAGAGGAGCGGTGTTATTGATGCAACTGCTTACCAGCTACACCTGCCTGTCTCTCCAGCTTATGTACCAGCCTCTTATGCGGTACTGTGTCAAAGGCTTTCCGACAATCCAAGAAAATGCAGTCCGCCCAGCCTTCTCTTTCGCGCGCGCGTGTGTGTGTGTGTGTCTGTGTGTGTGTGTGTGTGTGTGTGTGTGTGTGTGTGTGTGTGTGTGTGTGTGTGTGTGTGTGTGTGTACCTAGGGTGACTACACAGTGTACCTAGGGTGACTTACACACAGTGCACCTAGGGTGACTTACACACAGTGCACCTAGGATGACTTACACACAGTGTACCTAGGGTGACTACACAGTGCACCTAGGGTGACTTACACACAGTGCACCTAGGGTGACTTACACACAGTGTACCTAGGGTGACTACACAGTGCACCTAGGGTGACTTACACACAGTGCACCTAGGATGACTACACAGTGCACCTAGGGTGACTACACAGTGCACCTAGGGTGACTACACACAGTGCACCTAGGGTGACTTACACACAGTTGACTTACACACAGTGCACCTAGGATGACTACACAGTGCACCTAGGGTGACTTACACACAGTGCACCTAGGGTGACTTACACACAGTGCACCTAGGGTGACTACACAGTGCACCTAGGGTGACTTACACACAGTGCACCTAGGGTGACTAGGGTGACTACACAGTGCACCTAGGGTGACTTACACACAGTGCACCTAGGGTGACTACACAGTGCACCTAGGTGCACCTAGGGTGACTACACAGTGACCTAGGGTGACTTACACACAGTGCACCTAGGGTGACTACACAGTGCACCAAGGGTGACTTACACACAGTGCACCTAGGGTGACTACACAGTGCACCTAGGGTGACTTACACACAGTGCACCTAGGGTGACTTACACACAGTGCACCTAGGGTGACTTACACACAGTGCACCTAGGGTGACTACACAGTGCACCTAGGGTGACTTACACACAGTGCACCTAGGGTGACTTACACACAGTGCACCTAGGGTGACAACACAGTGCACCTAGGGTGACTTACACACAGTGTACCTAGGGTGACTACACAGTGCACCTAGGGTGACTTACACACAGTGCACCTAGGGTGACTACACACAGTGCACCTAGGGTGACTTACACACACACAGTGCACCAGTGCACCTAGGGTGACTTACACACAGTGCACCTAGGGTGACTTACACACAGTGCACCTAGGGTGACTACACAGTGCACCAAGGGTGACTTACACACAGTGCACCTAGGGTGACTACACAGTGCACCTAGGGTGACTTACACACAGTGCACCTAGGGTGACTAGGGTGACTACACAGTGCACCTAGGGTGACTTACACACAGTGCACCTAGGGTGACTTACACACACAGTGCACCTAGGGTGACTTACACACAGTGACTTACACACACCTAGGGTGACTACACAGTGCACCTAGGGTGACTTACACACAGTGCACCTAGGGTGACTTACACACAGTGCACCTAGGGTGACTTACACACAGTGTACCTAGGGCGACTACACAGTGCACCTAGGGTGACTTGACACACAGTGCACCTAGGGTGACTACACACAGTGCACCTAGGGTGACTACACAGTGCACCTAGTGGTGACTTGACTACACAGTGCACCTAGGGTGACTTACACACAGTGCACCTAGGGTGACTTACACACAGTGCACCTAGGGTGACTTACACACAGTGCACCTAGGGTGACTACACAGTGCACCTAGGGTGACTTACACACAGTGCACCTAGGGTGACTACACAGTGCACCTAGGGTGGTGACTTACACACAGTGCACCTAGGGTGACTTACACACAGTGCACCTAGGGTGACTTACACACAGTGCACCTAGGGTGACTTACACACAGTGCACCTAGGGTGACTACACAGTGCACCTAGGGTGACTTACACACAGTGCACCTAGGGTGACTTACACACAGTGTACCTAGGGTGACTACACAGTGCACCTAGGGTGACTTACACACAGTGCACCTAGGGTGACTTACACACAGTGTACCTAGGGTGACTACACAGTGCACCTAGGATGACTACACAGTGCACCTAGGGTGACTTACACACAGTGCACCTAGGGTGACTTACACACAGTGTACCTAGGGTGACTACACAGTGCACCTAGGACTTACACACAGTGACCTAGGGTGACTTACACACAGTACACACAGTGCACCTAGGGTGACTTACACACAGTGTACCTAGGGTGACTACACAGTGCACCTAGGGTGACTTACACACAGTGCACCTAGGGTGACTTACACACAGTGCACCTAGGGTGACTTACACACAGTGTACCTAGGGTGACTACACAGTGCACCTAGGGTGACTACACAGTGCACCTAGGGTGACTTACACACCTAGTGCACCTAGGGTGACTTCCACACAGTGCACCTAGGGTGACTTACACACAGTGCACCTAGGGTGACTTACACACAGTGCACCTAGGGTGACTTACACACAGTGCACCTAGGGTGACTTACACACTGTGCACCTAGGGTGACTTACACACTGTGTACCTAGGGTGACTACACAGTGCACCTAGGGTGACTACACAGTGCACCTAGGGTGACTTACACACTGTGCACCTAGGGTGACTTACACACTGTGCACCTAGGGTGACTTACACACAGTGCACCTAGGGTGACTTACACACAGTGCACCTAGGGTGACTTACACACAGTGCACCTAGGGTGACTTACACACAGTGCACCTAGGGTGACTTACACACTGTGCACCTAGGGTGACTTACACACTGTGTACCTAGGGTGACTACACAGTGCACCTAGGGTGACTTACACACAGTGTACCTAGGGTGACTACACAGTGCACCTAGGGTGACTTACACACAGTGCACCTAGGGTGACTTACACACAGTGTACCTAGGGTGACTTACACACAGTGCACCTAGGGTGACTTACACACAGTGTACCTAGGGTGACTACACAGTGCACCTAGGGTGACTTACACACAGTGTACCTAGGGTGACTACACAGTGCACCTAGGGTGACTTACACACAGTGCACCTAGGGTGACTTACACACAGTGTACCTAGGGTGACTACACAGTGCACCTAGGGTGACTTACACACAGTGCACCTAGGGTGACTTACACACAGTGTACCTAGGGTGACTTACACACAGTGCACCTAGGGTGACTTACACACAGTGTACCTAGGGTGACTTACACACAGTGCACCTAGGGTGACTTACACACTGTGCACCTAGGGTGACTTACACACAGTGCACCTAGGGTGACTTACACACAGTGCACCTAGGGTGACTTACACACAGTGCACCTAGGGTGACTTACACACAGTGCACCTAGGGTGACTTACACACAGTGCACCTAGGGTGACTTACACACAGTGCACCTAGGGTGACTTACACACAGTGCACCTAGGGTGACTTACACACAGTGCACCTAGGGTGACTTACACACAGTGCACCTAGGGTGACTTACACACAGTGCACCTAGGGTGACTTACACACAGTGCACCTAGGGTGACTTACACACAGTGCACCTAGGGTGACTTACACACAGTGCACCTAGGGTGACTTACACACAGTGCACCTAGGGTGACTTACACACAGTGCACCTAGGGTGACTTACACACAGTGCACCTAGGGTGACTTACACACAGTGCACCTAGGGTGACTTACACAGTGCACCTAGGGTGACTTACACACAGTGCACCTAGGGTGACTTACACACAGTGCACCTAGGGTGACTTACACACAGTGCACCTAGGGTGACTTACACACAGTGCACCTAGGGTGACTTACACACAGTGCACCTAGGGTGACTTACACACAGTGCACCTAGGGTGACTTACACACAGTGCACCTAGGGTGACTTACACACTGTGCACCTAGGGTGACTTACACACAGTGCACCTAGGGTGACTTACACACAGTGCACCTAGGGTGACTTACACACAGTGCACCTAGGGTGACTTACACACAGTGCACCAGTGCAGGGTGACTACACAGTGCACCTAGGGTGACTTACACACAGTGCACCTAGGGTGACTTACACACAGTGCACCTAGGGTGACTTACTCACTGTGCACCTAGGGTGACTGACTACACACACAGTGCACCTAGGGTGACTTACACACAGTGCACCTAGGGTGACTTACACACAGTGTACCTAGGGTGACTTACACACTGTGCCCCTTGGGTGACTTACACACTGTGCACCTAGGGTGACTTACACACAGTGCACCTAGGGTGACTTACACACTGTGCACCTAGGGTGACTTACACACAGTGCACCTAGGGTGACTTACACACAGTGCACCTAGGGTGACTTACACACAGTGCACCTAGGGTGACTTACACACAGTGCACCTAGGGTGACTTACACACAGTGCACCTAGGGTGACTTACACACAGTGCACCTAGGGTGACTTACACACAGTGCACCTAGGGTGACTTACACACAGTGCACCTAGGGTGACTTACACACAGTGCACCTAGGGTGACTTACACACAGTGCACCTAGGGTGACTTACACACAGTGCACCTAGGGTGACTTACACACAGTGCACCTAGGGTGACTTACACACAGTGCACCTAGGGTGACTTACACACAGTGCACCTAGGGTGACTTACACACAGTGTACCTAGGGTGACTACACAGTGCACCTAGGGTGACTACACAGTGCACCTAGGGTGACTTACACACTGTGCACCTAGGGTGACTTACACACTGTGCACCTAGGGTGACTTACACACTGTGCACCTAGGGTGACTTACACACAGTGCACCTAGGGTGACTTACACACAGTGTACCTAGGGTGACTTACACACAGTGCACCTAGGGTGACTTACACACAGTGCACCTAGGGTGACTTACACACTGTGCACCTAGGGTGACTTACACACTGTGCACCTAGGGTGACTTACACACTGTGCACCTAGGGTGACTTACACACTGTGCACCTAGGGTGACTTACACACAGTGCACCTAGGGTGACTTACACACAGTGCACCTAGGGTGACTTACACACAGTGCACCTAGGGTGACTTACACACAGTGCACCTAGGGTGACTTACACACTGTGCACCTAGGGTGGTGCACCTAGGGTGACTTACACACAGTGCACCTAGGGTGACTTACACACAGTGTACCTAGGGTGACTTACACACTGTGCACCTAGGGTGACTTACACACTGTGCACCTAGGGTGACTTACACACAGTGCACCTAGGGTGACTTACACACTGTGCACCTAGGGTGACTTACACACAGTGCACCTAGGGTGACTTACACACAGTGCACCTAGGGTGACTTACACACAGTGCACCTAGGGTGACTTACACACAGTGCACCTAGGGTGACTTACACACAGTGCACCTAGGGTGACTTACACACTGTGCACCTAGGGTGACTTACACACTGTGCACCTAGGGTGACTTACACACAGTGCACCTAGGGTGACTTACACACTGTGCACCTAGGGTGACTTACACACAGTGCACCTAGGGTGACTTACACACAGTGCACCTAGGGTGACTTACACACAGTGCACCTAGGGTGACTTACACACAGTGCACCTAGGGTGACTTACACACAGTGCACCTAGGGTGACTTACACACAGTGCACCTAGGGTGACTTACACACTGTGCACCTAGGGTGACTTACACACTGTGCACCTAGGGTGACTTACACACAGTGCACCTAGGGTGACTTACACACTGTGCACCTAGGGTGACTTACACACAGTGCACCTAGGGTGACTCACACACTCTGCACCTAGGGTGACTTACACACTGTGCACCTAGGGTGACTTACACACTGTGCACCTAGGGTGACTTACACACTGTGCACCTAGGGTGACTTACACACAGTGCACCTAGGGTGACTTACACACTGTCCTGGTCTTGGTCGTCTTCAGCCCAGTTAGTCGTCCTGAAACTGCCAAAGAGAAACCAATTATCTCTGGTTGTTATAACAAGTTTGTTATATATAACTGGCTATAACATTATATAACTGGCTATAACATTATATAACTCGCTATAACATTATATAACTGGCTATAACATTATATAACTCGCTATAACATTATATAACTCGCTATAACATTATATAACTCGCTATAACATTATATAACTCGCTATAACATTATATAACTCGCTATAACATTATATAACTGGCTATAACATTATATAACTCGCTATAACATTATATAACTCGCTATAACATTATATAACTCGCTATAACATTATATAACTCGCTATAACATTATATAACTCGCTATAACATTATATAACTGGCTATAACATTATATAACTCGCTATAACATTATTTAACTCGCTATAACATTATATAACTCGCTATAACATTATATAACTCGCTATAACATTATATAACTGGCTATAACATTATATAACTCGCTATAACATTATATAACTCGCTATAACATTATATAACTCGCTATAACATTATATAACTGGCTATAACATTATATAACTCGCTATAACATTATATAACTCGCTATAACATTATATAACTCGCTATAACATTATATAACTCGCTATAACATTATATAACTCGCTATAACATTATATAACTCGCTATAACATTATATAACTCGCTATAACATTATATAACTCGCTATAACATTATATAACTCGCTATAACATTATATAACTCGCTATAACATTATATAACTCGCTATAACATTATATAACTCGCTATAACACTATATAACTCGCTATAACATTATATAACTCGCTATAACATTATATAACTCGCTATAACATTATATAACTCGCTATAACATTAACACATGAACACCGCTCAAGCCTTTAGGGATAACAGCGAGCTTAAGGAAGCATTAAATAACACAGAGCTATCATGACGACAAGCGGGCTTCCTGTCCCCATCAAGGCCCCTAAAGAGGTGGTGGCTCGCAGGTAAATTCAGGTAAAGTTCAAAACAGGTGCTGACTATACAGATGAACTAATGCGCTGTAAGTTATACATTCACATGGTTGAATGTTAGTGAATTATCTGATGAAATCTGATTGAACTCCCTTTACCTCATCTGTCTCATGTTATGGTTGGAGTGTGTATTATACATACATATATATACATACATATATATATATATATATATACATATATATATATATATATATATATATATATATATATATATATATATATATATATATATATATATATATATATATATATATATATATATATATATATATATATATATATATATATATATATATATATATATATATATATATATATATATATATATGTCGTACCTAATAGCCAGAACGCACTTCTCAGCCTACTATTCAAGGCCCGATTTGCCTAATAAGCCAAGTTTTCATGAATTAATGTTTTTTCGTCTACCTAACCTACCTAACCTAACCTAGCTTTTTTTGGCTACCTAACCTAACCTTACCTATAAATATAGGTTAGGTTAGGTTAGGTGGGGTTGGTTAGGTTCGGTCATATATCTACGTTAATTTTAACTCCAATAAAAAAAATTGACCTCATACATAGAGAAAAGGGTTGCTTTATCATTTCATAAGAAAAAAATTATAGTAAATATATTCTTTCAGGAAAACAAGGCTTATTAGGCAAATCGGGCCTTGAATAGTAGGCTGAGAAGTGAGTTCTGGCTGCTAGGTACGACATATATATATATATATATATATATATATATATATATATATATATATATATATATATGTCGTACCTAGTAGCCACAACGCACTTCTCAGCCTACTATGCAAGGCCCGATTTGCCTAATAAGCCAAGTTTTCCTGAATAAATATATTTTCTCTAATTTTTTTCTTATGAAATGATAAAGCTACCCATTTCATTATGTATGAGGTCAATTTTTTTTAGTGGAGTTAAAATTAACGTAGATATATGACCGAACCTAACCAACCCTATCTAACCTAACCTAACCTATATATATATAGGTAAGGTTAGGCTAGGTAGCCAAAAAAAGCTAGGTTAGGTTAGGTTAGGTAGGTTAGGTAGACGAAAAAACATTAATTCATGAAAACTTGGCTTATTAGGCAAATCGGGCCTTGCATAGTAGACTGAGAAGTGTGTTCTGGCTACTAGGTACGACATATATATATATATATATATATATATATATATATATATATATATATATATATATATATATATATATATATATATATATATATATATATATATATATATATATATAACTTATCTTAAGGATTTAAACTTAAAACTTAATGATTTAAAACTTATCAGTTTTGTGCCCAACCACTTAGGAGTGGACGGTAGAGCGACGGTCTGGCTTCATGCAGGTCGGCGTTCAATCCCAGACCGTCCACAAGTGGTTGGGCACCATTCCTTCCCACCGTCCCATCCCAAATCATTATCCTGACCCCTTCCCGGTGTATACAGCGGTAACAGCGTCGCGCTTTCCCCTGATAGTTGATTAACAGAGGCCCCGGCTCCCCGCTACTGACCTCCGGCTGTTAGACAGGCTGTCAGGAGCAGCAACATCAGAGGGTGAAGACTGGAGGTGGTCATGGTGGTGAAGACTGAAGACTTGGAGGAGTCACCCCTTTGGGCGGGTGGGAAGTTGCTGGCTTGGAGGGCGGGGTGTGCAGCCTTTATATAGCGTCTCCCTTCACATGGTTGTCGGCGGTCGCCTTGTCTACATGTCTCCTTACCTCGACCCTTCCACGAGTGCTCGACCCCTCTGAAGGCAGCTCCTCCTCATAAACAAAGGCCAAAGTCTATTCCATCCACCCGCCAAACCCGCTGCGTTTATGACAAGACAAGACAATAATTCTTTTTTTTATTTTTTTTTTTTTGAGATATATACAAGAGTTGTTACATTCTTGTAGAGCCACTAGTACGCGTAGCGTTTCGGGCAAGTCCCTGGAATACGATCCCCGCCGCGAAGAATCGTTGTTACAACCAAGTACACATTTTACTGTTGCGTTAAACAGAGGCTACAGTTAAGGATTTGCGCCCAGTAAATCCTCCCCGGCCAGGATACGAACCCATGACATAGCGCTCGCGAAACACCAGGCGAGTGTCTTACCACTACACCACGGAGACTGTAAAGTCTCCAATTAATTCAAAGAGAAGATGCCCCCATGGGGCTAGCCTTGAAGTGGGGACAGCTGAAGAGAAGTCGGTGAGAGGAAACGCTGAAGTTGAAGAGACAAGTGCCAGGGCTTGACCCAGCTGAGTGTCTTGAGTCGATGCTGCGAGCAACACAACATCTGGCTAGGCTGGGACCCTGGAAACACAAACCGAAACTGTCTCCATTTTCCGCTTGTTACAACTTGTAATAAAGTTGTTACATCTTGGCTTAACGTGTTTATGACGTATTAGAACGTTGTTACAACTTGCTATATTGGTTGTTATAACAGGTTAGGAGGTGTTAAAACTTGTTCGAACGTTGTACCAACGTCGTAGTTTCGGTGTGTGTTTGGCGGGGAGACGGGTCTGGAAGGCGGCAGTGGCAGTGCTTCTTCATTCAAGGTAGAGACAATGTTTCTTCAGGTGGTGTCTTCTTTCTTCTGTCTTCTTTACTTCTTTCTTGAGCCTTCTTTCTCGGGTCTTCTTTCTTCTTCTTCATCGTTTATGAATGAAAAACTGTTTACACACGACTCACAACTGATGACGTTCGAACACTTCCGTAACAAGTGCTTCACTGACGACTGGTGTTCGAACCACAACACTGTAAATGCTTCACCCACGGACTACAATTACAAATAATCGCCAACAGAACCTAAACACCTAACCTAACAAATGCCTAAATATGCACAAAATGCTAATATATAATAATATTAATTTATATATGAGAAAATTAATTATTTGAATGAGCAGCATGTTATAATTGAGGAATGCGTCTTTGGGGTCGAGCGCTGGATGGAATGGACTTTCGTCCATGAGATCCAAGTAGTTGGGCACTATTCCTTCCTACCGTTCCATCCCGAATCCTTATCCTGATCCCTTCCCAGTGCTATATAGTCATAACGGCTTGGCGCTTTCTCCTGATTTCTCCTTTCTCCTGATCCCTATCTTACATATGGTATCTGTGTATGGGGTTCAACCACTGCACATTACCTCAAGTCTATCATCACTCAGCAAAAATCTGCTATCAGAACAATAACAAATTGTCTTCAGACAACACACAGCTCCTCTGTTGAAGTCCCTTAACATGCTAAACATACACTCACTCCACACATTCTCTTGTGCTATCTACAAGTACAAAACCTTGTTCCTAAATGCTAACCCTGAGCTGAAACTTTTCCTTGAAAGGTGTAAGAGAACCCATGAGCACCACACCAGAAATATATATATCTTTAATATCCCCAGAGTCAGACTTAATCTGTGTAAACACTCCATGCACATAAACGGACCCAGTCTATGGAACTCACTCCCTGATGAAGTACAAAACTGTCCGACACAAGGGAGCCGGTCGGCCGAGCGGACAGCACGCTGGACTTGTGATCCTGTGGTCCTGTGAATATATTGTATTATTATTATTATTATTATTATTATTATTATAAAACTAATATTTTAAAGCGCAAAACGTAAAATACTGAAAAATGCGTCTGGGAGGGTTAGGTTACAGTCGCTGCTTTAACGCACCTAGCGTGAGGATATGTTGGATGTAATGACAACAAGCCCAACCCACCTGGACACACCCTGCAACGACCCACACACACCTGCCTCTCTCAAGGCCACACACACACCTGCCTCTCTCAAGGTCACACACACACCTGCCTCTCTCAAGGCCACACACACCTGCCTCTCTAAAGGCCACACACACCTGACTCTCAAGGCCACACACACCTGCCTCTCTCAAGGCCACACACACACCTGCCTCTCTCAAGGCCACACACACACCTGCCTCTCTCAAGGCCACACACACACCTGCCTCTCTCAAGGCCACACACACACCTGCCTCTCTCAAGGCCACACACACACCTGCCTCTCTCAAGGCCACACACACACCTGCCTCTCTCAAGGTCACACACACACCTGCCTCTCTCAAGGCCACACACACACCTGCCTCTCTCAAGGCCACACACACACCTGCCTCACTCAAGGCCACACACACACCTGCCTCTCTCAAGGCCACACACACACCTGCCTCTCTCAAGGCCACACACACACCTGCCTCTCTCAAGGCCACACACACCTGCCTCTCTCAAGGCCACACACACACCTGCCTCTCTCAAGGCCACACACACCTGCCTCTCTCAAGGCCACACACACACCTGCCTCTCTCAAGGCCACACACACCTGCCTCTCTCAAGGCCACACACACACCTGCCTCTCTCAAGGCTACACACACCTGCCTCTCTCAAGGCCACACACACACCTACCTCTCTCAAGGCCACACACACACCTGCCTCTCTCAAGGCCACACACACACCTGCCTCTCTCAAGGCCACACACACCTGCCTCTCTCAAGGCCACACACACACCTGCCTCTCTCAAGGCCACACACACCTGCCTCTCTCAAGGCCACACACACACCTGCCTCTCTCAAGGCCACACACACCTGCCTCTCTCAAGGCCACACACACACCTGCCTCTCTCAAGGCCACACACACCTGCCTCTCTCAAGGCCACACACACACCTGCCTCTCTCAAGGCCACACACACACCTGCCTCTCTCAAGGCTACACACACCTGCCTCTCTCAAGGCCACACACACACCTACCTCTCTCAAGGCCACACACACACCTGCCTCTCTCAAGGCCACACACACACACCTGCCTCTCTCAAGGCCACACACACCTGCCTCTCTCAAGGCCACACACACACCTGCCTCTCTCAAGGCCACACACACCTGCCTCTCTCAAGGCCACACACACACCTGCCTCTCTCAAGGCTACACACACCTGCCTCTCTCAAGGCCACACACACACCTGCCTCTCTCAAGGCCACACACACACCTGCCTCTCTCAAGGCCACACACACACCTGCCTCTCTCAAGGCCACACACACCTGCCTCTCTCAAGGCCACACACACACCTGCCTCTCTCAAGGCCACACACACACCTGCCTCTCTCAAGGCCACACACACACCTGCCTCTCTCAAGGCCACACACACCTGCCTCTCTCAAGGCCACACACACACCTGCCTCTCTCAAGGCCACACACACCTGCCTCTCTCAAGGCCACACACACACCTGCCTCTCTCAAGGCCACACACACACCTGCCTCTCTCAAGGCCACACACACACCTGCCTCTCTCAAGGCCACACACACCTGCCTCTCTCAAGGCCACACACACACCTGCCTCTCTCAAGGCCACACACACACCTGCCTCTCTCAAGGCCACACACACCTGCCTCTCTCAAGGCCACACACACACCTGCCTCTCTCAAGGCCACACACACACCTGCCTCTCTCAAGGCCACACACACACCTGCCTCTCTCAAGGCCACACACACACCTGCCTCTCTCAAGGCCACACACACCTGCCTCTCTCAAGGCCACACACACACCTGCCTCTCTCCTGCCTCTCTCAAGGCCACACACACCTGCCTCTCTCAAGGCCACACACACCTGCCTCTCTCAAGGCCACACACACACCTGCCTCTCTCAAGGCCACACACACCTGCCTCTCTCAAGGCACACACCACCTGCCTCTCACACACACCTGCCTCTCTCAAGGCCACACACACACCTGCCTCTCTCAAGGCCACACACACCTGCCTCTCTCAAGGCCACACACACACCTGCCTCTCTCAAGGCCACACACACACCTGCCTCTCTCAAGGCCACACACACACCTGCCTCTCTCAAGGCCACACACACACCTGCCTCTCTCAAGGCCACACACACCTGCCTCTCTCAAGGCCACACACACACCTGCCTCTCTCAAGGCCACACACACACCTGCCTCTCTCAAGGCCACACACACACCTGCCTCTCTCAAGGCCACACACACACCTGCCTCTCTCAAGGCCACACACACCTGCCTCTCTCAAGGCCACACACACACCTGCCTCTCTCAAGGCCACACACACACCTGCCTCTCTCAAGGCCACACACACACCTGCCTCTCTCAAGGCCACACACACACCTGCCTCTCTCAAGGCCACACACACACCTGCCTCTCTCAAGCCCACACACACACCTGCCTCTCTCACGGCCACACACACACCTGCCTCTCTCAAGGCCACACACACCTGCCTCTCTCAAGGCCACACACACCTGCCTCTCTCAAGGCCACACACACACCCCTCTCTCAAGGCCACACACACAGCCCTCTCTCTAGGCCACACACACACCTGCCTCTCTCAAGGCCACACACACACCTGCCTCTCTCAAGGCCACACACACACCTGCCTCTCTCAAGGCCACACACACCTGCCTCTCTCAAGGCCACACACACACCTGCCTCTCTCAAGGCCACACACACCTGCCTCTCTCAAGGCCACACACACACCTGCCTCTCTCAAGGCCACACACACACCTGCCTCTCTCAAGGCACACACACACACCTGCCCTCCCTCAAGGCCACACACACACCTGCCTCTCTCCACACACACCTGCCTCTCTCAAGGCCACACACACACCTGCCTCTCTCAAGGCTCACACACACACCTGCCTCTCTCAAGGCCACACACACACCTGCCT